ACTTCAAGCTGATATGATAATGGGATAGATTTTTGGGTACCTCAGTAGGGCAGAGGAAGATAGAACATGGACTATGTGGTAGGCAGCCTTCAGGATGGACCCCCACAATGATTCGTACCTCTTCATGTCTGTGCTCTTAGGTGCACAGGGCTCACCTGCATAACTAAAGGGATATTGCAGAAATGACGGAGTGTGATTTGGAGACGAGGTGAGAAAAGCATTGTTGCTTCCACTCTGCTCTCTCTTGGATTCCTCTTCCTGGGAGAAGCCAGCTGTCATGTCACGAGAACACTAACGTAGTCTGTGAAGGTGATCACGTGGAAAGGGACCAATTCTTCCTGCAAACAGCCAAAACCTACTTGCCAAGCATGTAAGTGAGCCATCTGGAGGCAGATCTTCCAGCCTCAGTCAAGCCTTTGGAGGACTGCTTCAGAGTCACCCGCTAAGCTTCTTTTTTATTTCTGACCCTCAAAACTTGAGAGAAAATAACTGTTCATAGTTTTAAGAAACTAAGTTTTGAGTTAACCACAACAGTATTAATCCTAGTATCATCATCCCCATTTCATACAGGGAAAACTCAGACATAGAGAGCAAAAAAGCTTGCTGGGCGCTGCGCTGCCGGTGGCTCACACCTATTATCCTAGCTACTCAGGAGGCAGAGATCAGGAGGATCAAGGTTCAAAGCCAGCCTGGGCAAATAGTTCAAGAGACCTTGTCTCAAAAAAAAAAAAAAAACACACAAAAAAAAGGCTGGTGGAGTGGCGCAAGGCGTAAGCCCTGAGTTCAAGCCTCAGTACTGCAAAAAAATAAAAAAGCTTGCTAATGTCACCTAGCTAATAAATGGCAGTACTGGAATTCAAGCCCAGGCAGGATGACCCCAGAGTTCAGGACTGCTCCTCCCTGCTATTTCTTCTCCAACTCCTGTGCTCCTTCTGACTTGGCCTCCCGGCTCCTGCTCCTGCTGGGACTACAGACAAGCATCACCATGCGTTGCTAGTATGTTAGTTTTCATGCAACTGCACCATGTTCTTCATTCACATGCATTTATTTTTTTTAATTTTTATTTTATTCATATGTGCATACAATGTTTGGGTCATTTCTCCCCCCTTCCCCCCGTCCCCTCCCTTACCCCCTCTTACCCTTCACTACCCAGCAGAAACTATTTTGCCCTTATCTCTAATTTTGTTGAAGAGAGAGTATAAGCAATAATAGGAAGGACCAAGGGTTTTTGCTAGTTGAGATAAGGATAGCTATACAGGGAGTTGACTCGCATTGATTTCCTGTGCATGTGTGTTGTTACCTTCTAAGTTAATTCTTCTCAAACTAACCTTTTCTCTAGCTCCTGGTCCCCTTCTCCTATTGGCCTCAGTTGCTTTAAAGTATCTGCTTTAGTTTCTCTGTGTTGAGGGCAACAAATGCTATCTAGTTTTTTAGGTGTCTTACTTATCCTCATACCTCTCTTGTGTGCTCTCGCTTTATCATGTGTTTAAATCCAATTGAAATCTCTAATTATTCATTATACAAACAACAGTCAATTTCCTTCTATAATATGGTGTTTTTAGCTGAAGGGTAGGATTTTGCATTTTTTTAAATCTCTTCTGTCGTTGTAGATACTTTGGATCCATCATTCTTGGTTGTCAAAATCTTTGCAGTCCTTATTTTGTTTCCAATTACAACTCACATCATCTTAACATCTGATTAACTCACAGTCTACATCTTCTTTCTGATAAGTACTTTTCTGTATGTTGCCTGGGACTCTCCAGATTTGATGTGTTTACAATGAATATATACTTCAACCTGAAACTGCTAGTTTTACTATCACTCAGCCCATATTTTCCTGCTGGCCTGAATCCAGATAGTCTAAGTTTATGGTACTTCCTAAGCAATACTTCCAAAAAAAGAGAATGATGTCAGAATGATATGTCTAGTTTTGGCAAACTGTGCCAGGTTCTAGTGATGCTCACCTCTGTGGGTCAGGAGCTAGGCAGGAAAAGAGCCCATGCTAGATAGAAGAAACTTAACAGAGAAATAATCACAAATACTGCGAAACTGCTAAAAACAAAAAGGAGATGGTGGGTAGCTGAGACATTAACTACAAAGGAAGTTGGAGGAGAAAAGAAAGGAGGTGGTGTTCCAGAGCCTAGAGGCCCAGCTACCCCAGGAAAGCTGGAACCATGGACAACACACAGTTCCTGCTGGACACAGAGCTGAAGCAGGGAGACAGGACACACCCTGGACCCTCCTTCCCGTCCCTGCCAGTCTCCCCACTAGTGCCTCCCTGATAGCTGAACCTAGACTAAAGTCACTCTGCAAGGGAGTCTGGGAAATGTAGTTTGGACAAAGAGGCAGAAAAAATCTGAAATCAGACAGGTGAATGATTGGCCCATTACCTCTTTCCCTTTTTGCATATTTACAATCCATCTGTTTTATAATCTATTCTAGAAATTAGCCAGGTGTTAAAGTCTTGCTCTGAAGATTCTAGAATCTTCCATGTTTAACAGCAAAGACTCTGATCCAGACAGCATGACTCAAGACTTGGCTCTTGTACATGTTTGATCTTGAGCAAGTTATCCAAACTGTAGGTTACTCAGTTTCCTCAATTATAAAATGAGGCCGAAAATAACACCTACTTCCTAGGAGTGTAGTCAGCATCAAATGACATAATACATGTGAAGATCTCTGACCAGTACCTAGCATAGGGTGAGTACTCTGTAAAAGCACTAAAAAAATGTAAATTAGATGTCATCATTCTGAAAATTAAATACCTGTCCACTTTCTATTATTTCATCATTTACAGGTTGAGTATCTCTTATCTGAAATGCATAGGACCAACCATAAGTATTTCAGATTTTTTTTTTTTTGGTGGTACTAGAGTTTGAACTCAGGGCCCCCACCCTGAGCCACTCCACCAGCCCTTTTTTGTGAAGGGCTTTTTCGAGATAGGGTCTTGCAAACTATTTGCCCGATCTTTCTGATCTCTGCCTCCTGAGTAGCCAGGATTACAGGCATGAGTCACCGGAGCCCAACTAGTGTTTCAGATTTTTTTTGAGAATTTGCATAAACATAATGGGATCTTGAGGATAGGACCCATACAAATAGCCGGAGGTGAGGATAGGACACCTTATGTAAATAGCCTGCAGGTAATTTTATACAATATTTTAAATTAATTTTATACAAATATTTTGGAGCGAAACAAAATTTCATGGTACAGAATTTTCCACTTATGATATCATGTTAATGCTCAAAAAAACGAGGATTTTGAAAGCATTTCAGATTCGAATTTGATGCTTGAGCTATACTAGATCTTGGACAAAATACTGAACTTCTTCACACCTGCATTTTCTACCTGTATCTCCTTCACAGCGTTGTTGACAGGATTAAATGAGCAAACACTGGCAAAGTATTTACTATGTATGCCGTAGTACTTACTTAGGTATCAGCCTATAATGTGGAAAATGCGCAAAAAGCGTTTGCAATTAGTTGTTACTGTTTATTAACATTACCTATCTGTGCCACAGGAAATGGGTAACCTCAAGCCCACAAAAATTAGAAATATTTCCTGTGACTGATAGTAAGAGCTGTGATCAACTATGGAGCACTTCTTGGAGCCGGTAGTTTGCTCAGTGCTCAACTGGCATTGTCTCCCTAAATGTTCACAACAGCCTTAAGGGGGAGTTGCACTAGTCTAAACCTCATTTTATAATTGACACACGCGGAGAGGTTGAGTAATTTCTCCAGGTCACATAGCCAGCAAGTGAAGAAGACACACTTAGTATGTATTTACCATTTATTTTTATTATTTATTTTGGTGGGGCACTGACGCTACCGCTTGAGCCACTTCACCAGCCCTTTTTTATGATGGGTTTTTTCGAGATGGGGGGGCGGGTCTCGTGAACTATTTCCCCGGGGTTGGCTTCGAACCGCGATCCTCCCGATCTCCGCTCTCTGCCTCCTGAGCAGCTAGGCGTGAGCCACCGGCGCCCGGCTGTGTTTACCATTTATTGAGTTCTGAGTCTCCGGAAGACAGAAGCTCCGCGGGGACAAAGGTAAACAGTCTAGGCCCCAGCGTCGCATATGGGAAGTGCCAGTTTCCTGAGAAGGCGCGGGGCGGGGCGGGGGCGGGAATGGTGAATAAACACACATTGTAACAAATAGCTCCAATGCCGTGTGGTCATTTCTACAATGAAGGCTCACTACCAGAAGTGCTACTGGATATCAAGACACTGGAACAAGAAAAAGTGCTGAGAGCTTAAGGATGCAATGAAAGACACTGCAGTTATGGAATAAGCAGACGTCCTTTGACAGCCTTGTTACCAACGTGTCCTGTAACAAAAAGCGTTACACCCAAAGGACCTAGCAGAGCAGGGTTAAAAGTGGAACCCGAGCTGCCAGTCAAGGGCGGGTCTGGCAAGTCGAGGCAGAGCCGGAAAGGGGTTAAGGCGATCGGGTGGGCGGGGCCCGCACGTGATTGGCAGGGGTGGGACCAGGCTCGTCACCCGCGCGCTCCCTCCGCCCGGCTGCTCCAAGTCGGGGCAGGCTGGGGTACGGCCGGGGCCGGGACCGGGACGCCGCGCGCAGCCGCCTCTCCCCCGCCCCCGCTTCCCTGTCGCCTTCGCGGGCTGGACGCGCAGGGGAAGTTGAGGAGCGCCCGGGCCAGCTCAGAGGGACTGACAGTCGGCAAAGTTTGACCCGAAGAGGAAGTGGCCGAAAGCCCCGGCAGGTGGCGGCCAGGCCTGGACAGGGACGCTCGCGGCCTGCGGGCCGGCGGTAGACGAGGGCGCACCCCAGCACTCGGCCCGGGCCGCGTCTCGGGGCATCGGGAAGCCGGCCCCGGGACAGGACGCGCGGGGACGGCCGGAGAAAACAACTCTGAAGTTGGCGAGAGGCACCGCCCCGGCTCCTGGGCGGCCGCCGCCTCCCCGCCCCCAGCCCTGGCATCCCGAGCGCGGGGCGAGCCTGAGCCATGCAGCCCCCGCGGGGCGGCGGCACCGGGGAGCCTGGACGCCGCTGGCTCCCCACTGGGTAGACGACAGAAGCTCCGGGACCCTTCCTGCACCTCCGGGCGGCCCAGGATGCTGCCGGCCATCCTCCTCCTCCTCCTCTTCCTCCCGGGTAAGAACCGAGGCCAGACTTCCCAGCCGCCACCCCGCCCCCAAGGCCGTCACTAGACCCAGCCGCCCTAAACTCCCTTCTATGCGACCCCAGATCCCGCCCTGCTGCGCGTGTCCCCGAGCCCCTGCCGCGGTCGGTCCCCAGCCGCGCCGCTCAGCCATCGTCCTCTCTCCGGCTTTCCCACATCGCCCTGTCAACCCCATAGGCCCTGCTGGCGGACCTTCCTTCGAGGTCACCTACCGCAGCCGCCTCTTACCCCTTCCTGTAAACTGCCCGGAAGTCCCAGATGAGCTTCCTTCTCGAGTTGTTCAGGTGAGGAAAACTCCTTGGAGACTCACTCTCGCCCTTTCTCGCTCTCCCTTTAGGAGGCGCTCTGGCCCATGCAGACCGGATCATCTTCCCAAATCCCGGTGAGTACAGGGGCTCTACTGGCTTGGGGCACACAAGAGGAAGACTGTACTCTGAATTCCATGAGACCTAACATAGTTTTAGAATGGAGACCATCTATTTTTATTTTACAGATGGGAAACTGAAGCCCATTGTAGGTACTCACCTGGTACTTGCTGTGTACCATTTCCTTTCTTCGTGGAATATCCTTGCTTGGTCTCCCTAACTAGCATATAACCTTCCTGAGGGTAGAGACAGTATTTCCTGCTCCTCCTGGCCCAGTGGTTGGCACACAGTCAACCTCAACATTGTTTGTGATACTAATATTTATGATGAAGCTATGAAGAGTGTGGAGAGGAAGAGAAGGGTCAGTGAGCTCTAATTGGGGGACTTGGGTGTAGGGAGGACCTCCTGTCCTTCTGGAAGGCCTTGGAAGCCATACAGCTGGGGAAGAATGGGATGTTAAGGGGCTCTGTACCAGTATACCTGCCTTCCTCCCTCCAGCTTGTGAGGCACCCCCAGCAGTTCTCTTGGAAGTGCAGGGCACCTTACAGAGGCCCCTGGGACGAGATAGCCGCAACTTCCCTGCCAACTGCACCTGGCTTATCCTGGGCAGCAAGGAGCAGACTGTGACCATCAGGTGAGAAGCAAGACAAGACTCCATTCCTGTCCCTCCCCTGCCCCTTGTCCTTCCACTGTGGAAGTCTTCAGAGATCACTTCTCCCTGGAATTTCCATCTTTGACAACAGGAGAAGAGTAGAATCTGACTTGACCTGTCTGCCTTAAAAGATTGGTTTGTTCTGGGCCAGACATGGTAAATTGGAGCAGGGCTGGGGTGGACATTTAGCTTTAGGTCCTGCACATTCCAAAGGACCATGGTCACCATCACTTTAGAAGTGGTCTGGACTCAGATAGGACTGTTCTGAGCACTCTTCAATCCTTTTTCCATAGCCCTGCTTGAGATTCAAAACTACTCTTTCTTTGTTTTTTGGTGGTGGGGTGAGGGTACAGCGGTTTGAACTCAGGGCCTTATGGTTGCTAGGCAGGTGCTCTACTACTTGAGCCACTCTGCCAGCCCTCAAAGCTACTCTTTAATCAGCTTAGAACCTTCCTCAGGACTGAGTGAAGCTCAGTGGTACAGCACTTGCCTAACATGTGTAAGCCCTGGGTTCGATCCCTAGCACCACAAAACAAAAACAAAACTTTCCCAGATCTTTTTTTGGTTGGTTAGTTTTTGGTTTTTTTGAGACATGGTGTCACCATGTAACCCAGGCTGGCCATAAACTCTTGATCCTCTTGTTTTAGCGTCCCAAATGCTGGAATTACAGGGATGTAATCCATCTTTCCTCTTTTTCCTTTTTTTTTTTTCTCTCAGTGCTGGGATGCAATCCAGGGCCTGACACATGCTAGTCAAGCACTGTATCACTGAACAACACCCCCTACCCACCCCCCCAGTGCCATATCTGTTAAACATTCTGAGTTTGCCTCAGGCTCTTCTGACCTTGGGTCATGGGATTGGAGCCCATGTTAAGTATCTGGTTATTTGCCTTACACAGTTCACTTGGTATGAATTTACCCAAAAAGGGGGATACACAGGGAGAAGCCACTTGAGGGAGAGGCTGTCAGGGCAGAAGGGTCAGCATGCCATGGAGATCTCCGGTCTTGCCTCCTGGCACCAGGGGTTGGTAAGTCCTGGTTAATTGAACTATATGATAGAGTCTCAGTTACTGCTGGCACCATACTTGGGTGACAGTGCTGCCACAACTGGAAAGCAATAAACCCGTTCTTAACTTAATCTCTGAATAATACAAGCAAGTCTTCCAAAGGGCTCTAGGATGTGTGTCTCTTGTGGCCTCCTGGTGCCACTGGCCTGGGATTGACTTTCCCCAAAAGGATTTGTCTGAATTTTCATTTGGCTCTTCAGATAATGGGTGTGGAGGTTTGTGATTCTTGGGATAGAAAGGACCTGGCAGCACTGAGGGAGGAGGAAACCCACAGTAGTCCATGTCCTGTTCTCCTCTATCACCGTAGGTTCCAGAAGCTGCACCTGGCCTGTGGCTCAGAGCGCTTAATTCTACGCTCCCCTCTCCAGCCACTGATCTCCCTATGTGAAGCACCTGCCAGCCCTCTGCAGCTTCCAGGGGGCAATGTCACCATCACCTACAGCTATGCAGGGGCCAGAGCACCCATGGGCCAGGGCTTTCTACTGTCTTACAACCAAGGTAGGCTGGACAGGAGTGTCCAAGCATTCCTTAGAGGATGCAGCGGAAGCCTCAGGGCAGAGGGAAGGTTCCCGAGGGCTCTGGGGCCTCACAGTCCCTCTCCGTGATGCTTCTGCAGATTGGCTGATGTGCCTGCAAGAAGAGTTTCAGTGTCTGAACCACCGCTGTATACCTGCAGCGCAGCGTTGTGATGGGGTCGATGCCTGTGGTGATGGCTCCGATGAAGTAGGTTGCAGCTCAGATCCATTCCCTAGCCTGACCCCAGCACTCGTCCCCACCCTTCCCTGCAATCTCACCTTGGAGGACTTCTATGGGGTCTTCTCCTCTCCTGGATACTCACATCTGGCCTCAGTTTCCCACCCCCAGTCCTGCCTGTGGCTGCTGGATCCCCATGATGGCCGGCGGCTGGCGGTGCGCTTCACAGCTCTGGACTTGGGCTATGGCGATGCAGTGCATGTGTATGATGGTGCTGGGCCCCCCGAGACCCCAAGGCTACTACGAAGTCTCACGCACTTCAGCAATGGCAAAGCTGTCACTGTGGAGACGCTGTCTGGCCAGGCTGTTGTGGCCTACCACACAGTGGCTTGGAGCAATGGTCGGGGCTTCAATGCTACCTACCACGTGCGGGGCTACTGCTTGCCTTGGGACCGACCCTGCGGCTTGGGCTCTGGCCTGGGGGCTGGAGAAAGCCCAGGTGAGCGCTGCTACAGTGAGGCACAGCGCTGCGATGGCTCCTGGGACTGTGCTGATGGCACAGATGAGGAGGACTGCCCCGGCTGCCCAGCTGGACACTTCCCCTGTGGAGCTCCCGGCACCCCTGGTGCCACAGCCTGCTACCTGCCTGCTGACCGCTGCAACTACCAGACATTCTGTGCTGATGGGGCAGATGAGAGACGCTGCCGGCACTGCCAGCCTGGCAACTTCCGATGCCGGGATGAGAAGTGTGTGTACGAGACGTGGGTGTGCGATGGGCAGCCAGACTGTGCCGACGGCAGTGATGAGTGGGATTGCTCCTACGCCCTGCCCCGCAAGGTCATCACAGCCGCAGTCATCGGCAGCCTAGTGTGCGGCCTGCTGCTGGTCATCGCCCTGGGCTGCACCTGCAAGCTCTATGCCATTCGTACCCAGGAGTACAGGTCAGTGAGAGTGAGGCTGGCTGAAGGAGAGCAGGACTGAGGGTGGAATGGGATCTGTGCAGTTGCAGGAGACCATGATAGTGCTCCCTGTTGGGGAGAGGTTCCTGTGACCAGCTTGTTGAATGGCTCTTGGAAGGACAGGTCTAGCTCCTGAAAGCAATCTCAAGGAAGGAGAGGACATCAAATGACCTTTAGACAGTGATGGCATAGGTCAGCTGACCTGGCCTGGATGTGGAGGGAAGAGGCCTGTCCAGGCTAGGGCAGGCTGCCCTGGCTGGGACCCACCAGTGACTAAGTAGCCTTCATTCCTTCCAGCATCTTTGCACCTCTCTCCCGGATGGAGGCCGAGATCGTGCAGCAACAGGCACCCCCTTCCTATGGGCAACTCATTGCCCAGGGTGCCATTCCACCTGTAGAAGACTTCCCTACAGAGAACCCTAGTGATGTAAGTCATTCCCTCTGACCTTAGCACCTCCTGGGGCCGGCTCTACAGTGGCTCCTTCACTCAGCTACCTGGCCCCTGACTCTGATGTCTGCCTCCTTTCCTTGCAGAACTCTGTGCTGGGCAACCTGCGTTCTTTGCTACAGATCTTGCGCCAGGACATGACTCCAGGGGGTGCCTCAGGTGGCCGCCGCCGCCAGCGGGGCCGTTCAGTGCGTCGTCTGGTTCGCCGGCTCCGCCGCTGGGGCCTGCTTCCTCGAGCAAATCCCCCAGCCCGGGCCTCTGAAACCAGACCGCAGGTCACACCTGCTGCTGCTCCCCTTGAGGCCCTGGATGATAGCACAGGTCCAGCCCATGAGGGTGGTGCAGCAGGTGGGCAGGAAGGGGAGCAGGCCCCTCCACTGCCTGTCAAGTCCCCATTCCCACCTGCCAGCACATCTTCAGCCCTCCCTACTATCTCTGAAGCCCAAGGGCCACTACCCTCAGTGCCCCTAGAGCCATCACTATTGTCTGGAGTGGTGCAGGTCCTGCGAGGCCGCCTCCTGCCCAACCTGTGGTCCCCAGGACCAACCTGGACCCCTCCTGGACCCAACATGGCAGTCCTGGCTCCAGAGGATGAGGATGATGTGCTGCTAATGCCACTGGCTGAGCCAGGGGTCTGGGTGGTCGAGGCAGAGGATGAGCCACTGCTTGCTTGACGGCAACCTGGCTTCCCTTGGGGCTCTAGTCAAAGTGGCACAACCTTGGCTCAGCTTCTCTGTTGATCTGTGTAGTGGCTAGAAAGTTAGGTGTTCCTCAGGCAGGGACAGGGCTCTTTATTAGCCCCCTCTGTATATGGCCAGAATCACAGTCCCACACCACCACCCTCTCCCCATCCCACCACTATCCAGGTGGCTTTAAAAAATGTAAAGTTCTTAAAGGGTCATAGGCCTGGACACTCCATACGTGCCAAACCCTACCCAAAAGTGACCTTAAGAACCAGAATGCCAGTAGACTGGAGACCCCCCAGCCCCTAAATGGAGGTTTTGGGCAGGGTCTGAGGTTTTGCCAACCTCTATCCCCAAAGTCCCAGCTCACAAGGGCTTATGTCCCATAGCTAGGTCATTGCCCAGGAAATCAAAATTAAAAAATAAAAGGACTGTGGCCCCATGGTAGAGTGCTTGCCTAGCATTCATGAGGCCCTGGGTTCAACCCCCAGCACCACAAAAATATAAAATAAAGGAATCCTAAATTTTAACATTTTGCAAATTAGATGTGAGCCTGAACTCTGCCTTTGCCCATCTCCAGTTATGCTCACCTTACCTTGATCTTCCTTGTAGAGAGGCCTTGGGTCAGCCCTGCTGCCCTCTTCTTAGTCTTTCAACCACTCCTGATTTTTATACTGCTCAGAAGGTAAGAAAATTCAGGGAACCCTAAGGACCAACCCTGTCCTCCACTCACTGCTGGGGCCTAGCCCTAGAGTGGCTGACACCAGAGGTAAGCCACCTCCCTCTTTATTAGCAGCAGGCTAGAAGTTGGGGAGCAGGTTGGTCCCTACAGCCAGGAAGGCTCCCATTTATGAAGTAGTGTCAGCACAGATCACAGGAGCAGACTGTCCCTGGAGGATCAGCCTCCTGCCCTCCACCCCCACCAGGCACTTAACAGTCTGTCCTTTGCAAGACAGATGAACTCTCAGCCCAGCCCCCTCAAAGCTGGCAAAGATTAGTTGAGGGAAAAGTAACATTCAGAATATGAAAGTGCTAGCATCACCACGGCCAAATCCAAGAGGTCTCCTTGGAAGAGGGCCCAAAATAAATTCTTAAGAATGCTGTCAGGGGCTGCTGGCAGAGTGCCTCAAGTGGTAGAGCTCCTGCCTAGCAAGCGTGAGGCCCTGAGTTCAAACCCCAGTACTGCAAAAAAAAAAAAAAAAGTGATGTATAAAAAAAAAAAAGTGAATTCTAGACAGGACAAGCAAATTAGACATGAGGATTTGCTAGATCCTGACCTGGGAAAATGGCCCTAGAGCACAAGCAGTGGATGGAGCCAAAGAGCTGTGAGAGTAAGGAGGAGGAATGATGTGTGAGAACTGTTTGAAAGGAAAATCCACACGATGCAGAAAGAGCTTGTTGGAGGGAGCAAAGTTGAGGCATTTCCTAACAGATCCAGTCCCCTGGGAACTGGTCCCCCTCAGGTTCTCCCCTTCTGCCTGGGCTAGCCTATTCTCATCCCTGTGGTGATGGGGCCCTGTAGATTACACCCTGTCAGCATCCTCACACCAGTAGGAATTACACAATTCCCCTCTTCTAGTGAACAAGAGCCTGAGGAACAATCCGAGATGTGAGCCTGTGTGTAGTCTTGGGCTCCTTTAACTCAACACCCTCAGGGATTGAGGAAGGGCCTCCAGAGAGCCTGGCTCTTGCTTGGAGTTCTCCCTTAGGCCCTCCTCAAATGCAGTCTCTAGACCCCCACACGGAGCTCAGTAAAAACAGTGAAACGGTTGTGGTTTCTCCTTCCCCATCTCCTGGTCTTTGCTGTCTTCCTTGCTCTTCTCTCTGTCCACAGCAACAAAAGCCTGATACCTTCATCTGTTGGCCTGTTCCAAACCTTTTCCCTCCTAGAGGGATATGCAAACTTGAAAGTGGACAAAGAGTTAAGGTAAAAGTGCTCCTGATGTTGGAATGCTAGAGGGAGGACTTCAGGGCAGAGTTCACTAGGGAGGCCTGTGTGCTTACGTAAGTTTCTCTAGGTGCTGGGTGTGTGCTCTGTGAGGTGCAAGCAGTAACACTACTTTTGTCGGCCACAGGGAAGCCCCAGGTTGGTGGGGAAGGGGAATTGACCTCTTTGTACAGTAGGTAAGACAGGGGGTCTTGCCCAAGTGAAGGTGGGAGATTGAGAACAGTCACTCAAGTTTTCCTCCACCAGGGCCCAAGAAAAGAGAAACAAAGTGTGTTAGCTTTCCAGACTGTAACAAATACCTGAGACAATCAATTTATAAAGAAAAAAGAGCTATTTGGTCTTACAGTTTGGGGTGTTCTTACTCCCTGATGGGTAGGCCCTATTGCTTTGGGGTCAGGGCTCCACATCATGGTGGGAGCTCAAGGCATAACAAAACCATTCATTACACAGTGCAAAAGGGAGAGAGGAAGACCAGAGTCCCACAATGCCCTCTGAGGGCACAGGACTTAAAACCTCCCACTAAGTCCTGCCTCCTCAGAGTGCCAGGTGGCACCTGGATTTTTGAGAGACATTCCAGATTCAAACAATACTATCAGTCAACTTAAAATCCTGTCAAGGTAGACACTGCAGCCAGGCGCCAGTGGCTCACATCTGTAAATCCTAGCTACGCGGGTCAGAGATCCAGGAGGATCACGGTTCAAAAACCCCATCATTAAAAAGGACTGGTGAAGTGACTCAAGGTGTAGTCCCTCAGTTCAGATTCCAATACGGCATTAAAAAAAAAAACAACACAAAAAGAGTTGGTGGAGTGGCTCAAGCAGCAGGGTACCTGTGCCTAGCAAGCATGAGGCCCTGAGTTCAAATCCCAGTACTACAAAAAAAGAAAAAAGCACTATCCAAGGTGCCCAGTGTCAGGCGTGTTGGACCCCTTGTTCAGGGGGTTTAGGTGTACTCAACATAATTGTTTTCAGGATCAGGCTATGAATCAGTTTGAGATATCAGAAGGTACCGTTAAGAAAAATTTGGAACCTACAGGAAGATCCAGGCAACCACACAGCCTGAGGCTGTGGGAACACCAAGTTGTGCTAGAGTTGGGCTCCTGCTGATGCCAGGTCCTTTCTCCAAGTGATTAATGCTCAAAACAACACTGTGCCATGGGCCTCATCAACCCACCTCACAGGTTCAGAATTAAGATCCCGCTTGATTTGGTTCCAAGTCTTAGGCCACTACCCCAAGGGACTTCCCATTCCTGAGAGTGCTGGCCATGGATAAGTACACTGCAGAAGACCATTTCTTGCCTCTTATTAGCAGGAGGAGGGAGGTTTGTTCAAGCAAAACCCAGTGTGTTCCTGTGGCCACAGCTAGATTGAGGGAGACAGAAGTGATCGTAGACAACTTGTTGGGGTCTACAGCCCCTGACTCACTCCTACTGGTATCAGATTAATCCAACCACCCAAGTAAGTTTTCCAGATGCGTAAAGCTCGCTTTTTTTCCCCTTTGTGTGCGAGTGTGTGTGTGAAACAGGACCTCGTTATGTGTTCCAGGCTGCATTACAGGCATGCATCACCATACTGGACTCCTTTATCATCTAAAACTTAAAAAACAACTCATTTTTGAAGGAAATTATTCTAAAAATTCATCTTGGGGCCTCTATAATCCCAACACTCAGGAGACTGAGGCAAGAAGATTGTGAGTTTGATGCTAGCTTGGACTTACATACATAGTGAGACCCTATCTTAAAAAAAAAAAAACAGTACCACCACAAAAAAGTTACACCATCCTTAGCAGATCTGCAATATAATATAAAATTTTCTGAATAGTAAAGGGTCTTTCATGGAAACCAATGGCTCCTCTGTACCAATGTCTTTAGAAATGGTAACCAAGTTTTAACTCTGGAAAACCAGACACCTGTAGTTCAGACCTATAATCCTAGCTACTTGGGGGGCTGAGATTGGGATAATTGAGGTTCCAGACCAGCCCAGACAAAGAATTTGTGAGACCCCCCATCTCCAAAAAGTTACCAGAGCAAAATAAACTGGAGGTATGGTTCAAGCAGTAGAGGGCCTGCTTTGCAAGTGCAAAGCCCTGAGCTCAAACCAAAATAAAAGTCCCACCAAAAAAAAAAAAAACAAAAGTTGTAACTGTGGTAAGGAGGGGCTTTTTGTCTTATGCTAAATCATCTAGACCCCTTTTTAAATGCTTATGATTGCTTTAAATTTTTTTCTTCTTTTTTGTGGCAGCACTGGAGTTTGAACTCAGGGCTTCATGTTTGCTAAGCAGGCACGCTTACCACTTGAGCCACTCTGCTAGCCCTTTCTTGTGGTGAGTTTTTTTGAGATAGAGTCTCTTGAACTGTTTGCCAGCAGCTGGCTTCAGACTGCAATCCTCCTGATCTCTGCCTTCTGAGTAGCTAGGATTATAGGCATGAGCCACTAGTGCCCAGTTTTAAAAGTTTTTGTGAGGGCTGAAGGCATGGTTAAAGCGGCAGAGTGCCTGCCTAACAAGCTTGAGGCTCTGAGTTCAAACCCCAGTATGGCAAAAGAAATGTGTTTGTGAGCCTGCCGCCTTGGCACCAAGCTGTCAAGGGTCACTTGCTGCTCTAATGTGCTTCTAGTCAACTACTGTAGGAACACCTATAGATGGTTAAAGTTGTGGATAAAATAAGGGTGAGCAGTGCCTGATTGAGGACTGAAGACGATCTAGAAAGTGTATTAGTTTAGCTGCTGAGTCCTTTCTGCTTCAAGATCCTGTTCTGTAGTTGCCCCCTAGATAAATAAATGTCACTATACATTATTCCCAAGTTTCCTACTTGCCTCTTCCATTTGGAGATATCCACTGATGGCAAAATGTATTGTTCCCAATAATAGACTGTTGAAATCTTTAAGAAAAACAATCTTTGACCCTGGAAACATCTAGGTGGTGATCCTGGTGACCCCTTCATGATTGGTTTGGGGACAGGCCACTCACCTACCACTCTTGAGCCTTGTAGTAATGAAGAGGAAAGTAGATAATGCAGGAAAAGTGCCTAGCAAACTACCTGGGTGCCTAGCAAACTACTACAGGGTGAAGCAGGGGAGAGGGGATCAGAATGTATGTCTGGGTGCATAGGGTATCTGGAAGGACAAGAGTGGGGACCAGAAGGGAATAGGGCAGAAAAGGGACAGTAGCAAAGCTCCCTGCCTTGGCTTTGCACAGAGTTAAACATGTCTGTCGTGGGTCAGCTTTGTCTGTCTCTTAAGGTCTCCTGCTGCTGGGTGGGCCTAATGGGGAAGAAGAGGTGGTGAAGGAGTCCTCACAATGGTTTCCACCTACCTGAACTTGGCAAAATGAAGTTGCTCAAACAAAGCAGCTTTCCTGCCACAGAGGCCCCACTGCCTGGGGGCCCGGCTGAAAAATGGTACTTTTGTGACTCTTAGCCCAGAAGAGGCTGGGTGGAGGGGACAGTGATTGGGTGGCCATCTCTTTGTCTCTGCATCTCTTGGCCTATTTCTGTCTTTGAGATGAGCTTTTAAGTCTTTCTGCCCCCATCCCTCTTTTTAGCCACTGAGTACAGCTCTGGGATAGGGGCTAAAAATTGAGATAAATGACATAGTCCTGGATTTTGGAGTAAGAGACCTCTGGCTCCCCTGAGTCCCTGCCTCCTGCCACCTTCAGCTCCCCAACCTACAGAAACCCCATTCCCTTCCACACCACCTTTTTCAACCCGTCTCTTCCGCCCCTCTGACTTTGTCCTGTCATGCCTTAACCACGATCCACAGTATGCTCCCAGTGGGAAGTGACACAAAGAAAAGGGAGGGGGGCAGAAGGAGGGAATCCCACTGACATCACTGCTCATTAGCATGTGTGACCTCATCAGGGGGTGGGACAATTTCCCCAGGTGTCTTGGGGGGGAGAGGGTTTGTGGGGAGGGTGGTATTTAAAGGGGAAAGCTGACAGTGCTGTTGAGTGAGGGAGCCGGTGCTGCGAGCTGCTGGGCTGCACTCACACACGCACACTGATGCACACGGACCTCGACACCGACATGGACACGGACACTGAAACCACAGCACTTTGTTCCTCCGGCAGCCGCCAGGCCTCCCCACCAGGGACACCCATACCAGGTGAGGGCTAACCTGAACGGTTCCGGCTGGAACCATGGGGGTGGGAGCTTGAGCTTTAATGCTGAGGTCAGTACTAGGGGTTTAATCAGCAATAGCGGTAAAACAAGTCAGGAAGTAGAAAAGACCTCTGTTCATATAAGGTCCAGGCTGGCTAGGGTAGAATGGGAGAGCTGCCCAGATGCCCCCTCCCCCATCACCAGCAGGGCTTTCCTTAAGAAACTGGTACCCAGCCCCTCAGTCAGACTCATTCCCAACGGGCTGGGACAGACAAGAGGGAAGGAGAGAAAGAAAGGGGCAGCCCACAAGCCTGGGAATCACAAGCCAGGAGCTACCCTGGGGACCTGTTTTAAGGGTTTCTTCTGGCTCCTCGAGGCCCTGGCTGCCAGCCAGGTATTGATCCTGCACTATTTACAGCTTCTCTCCAGCCCCCTTTGTTGTGTCTGTTGTTCTCTAGTTACCCTGGCCCTTACATGATCACTCTCCCTCTCTCACACACAATCTCCACCTCAAATTCTCCATGAACACAAAATTCTCTTGCTGTCACAGGGACAGCCTGGGATGCAAGTCTCACCCACAACCATGCACTGGGGAATACTCACCTACTGGGGCCATAGGAAGCAGAAAACACAAATAGACTGCACACACATCATCTTATAAAGCCCTGGGAACAGGCCCCACCAACAAAGTTTTTGACTCTACCAGAACCTATTCCCCTGAACCTGGGAAGCAGCTTCAGCTTCTTATTCCTTCTGCCCCTCCCCAGTTTGGGCATCATCAGTGCACCAAGCAGCAGGAGGCAGGGCCCCTTGAAGGAAAGAGGGGCAGCATCCCCTCAGCCCCCTGGGCCAGAGGCCTAGTCTAGGGGTGTGCCTGTGTCAGCGTGAGTGGGTGTGTGAGCCTGCGCACAGGTGCCTCCTCTGCATGGGACATGTTTTGAAACCATTGTGGCTAAGACCACAATGGAAAGCCATCATGTGCGCTCCATGGAAGTTCACCAGTTCAGGCTTCTGAGGGACTTTAGGTTGAGCCAAAGATTCTGAGTTCCTCCTGGGTCATTACCTGGGTGTGGCTAGGCCTCTAACTAACGCTGGAGCAGCCTGATTTAAGCCCTCTGCAGATGGCTGGATATATCCCCCTCATGCCGCCTTTTCTTTGCCCCTCTAGAAGCAGATGCTACACTTCTGAAGAAGCCAGAGAAACTGTTGGCAGGGCTGGGCCAGAGAGGGCCACCCCCTGCCCCAGGGGTTCCCAAACGAAGAGGCAGTATGCCTGTGCCCTATAAGCACCAGCTGCGGCGGGCACAAGCTGTAGATGAACTTGACTGGCCACCTCAGGCCTCATCCTCTGACTCTTCTGACTCCTTGGGCTCAGGGGAGGCAGCCCCTGCCCAAAAGGATGGCATCTTCAAGGTCATGCTGGTGGGAGAAAGTGGAGTGGGCAAGAGTACCCTCGCAGGCACCTTCGGCGGTCTCCAAGGAGACAGTGCTCATGAGCCAGAGAACTCAGGTATCTGGGGAAGCCCTGCAAGGGCTGAGGGGATTCTGGGGTCATAGTCAGGGATGAAAGTGATCTTGGCATGAGCAGCCCCTAGAGAACAAACATATCTCTTCAGTGCTTTCTGTGGCCTCCCTGGAGGATGTTCCCTGGTGCTGGAATCTGAGGTGCTCCTGGTTATCAGGTCTCATAATTGTGGGGAACTTCCTAATGGGCTTCATTCCCTCTCTCTATTTCCCAACAGAGGACACCTATGAGAGACGTATCATGGTGGATAAAGAGGAAGTGACTTTAGTTGTTTATGACATCTGGGAACAGGTGAGGACTAAAATGTGGCTGTGACCAGGTGATGAAGCTGGAAGAACAGGGGAAGGGCAGTCTGGTGGGACTGCAGGCCCTGGTGTCACCATGCAGTGGAGCCTGACTTTTCATTTGCACCACCTCTGAGAGCAAAGGCCCACATCAGTGAGCACGCCATGGCCCATGGCTGGAAGAGCCACTGTTTTTTTCAGGATCTTCTGACCCAAAGGAAAATTAGGATCTGAATTTGACAAACACTGCAGCTTCCAGTCAGTCGGAAACCCAAATTCTGTAGCTTCAGAGAATGAAGTGCAGAAAAAAAAGCTCAGGGCTCTGGAATATCAAGGAAGGGGAAAAGTGAGAACTTCTTGAACATGAGGTTACTATGTGTAAATGAGAGGCCAAATTACACACTCTTGAATAGCATTCTTTTCAGATTCAGGAGAGATGAATAAGCATAAGGTTAACCTAATAGGACCCTATGTCCCCTGCCCTCCCATGTGGGGCTCACAATACTAACTTCTTCCTCCTCCACAAACACACCCTGGGTGTGGAGATTCTGCCATTAACTAGCTTGCTGTCCCAAGCAGGCTTCCCCCTCACAGTCGGATTCATGTTTGAGATCCAGGTGCTGGGCAGAGTCTCCCATGCTTCCAGCCCTAACAATCCATGGCTCTCTGCTCATCTGCAGGGAGACGCTGGGGGGTGGCTGCGGGACCACTGCCTTCAGACGGGGGACGCGTTTCTCATCGTCTTCTCAGTCACCGATCGACGAAGCTTCTCCAAAGTTCCAGAGACCTTACTTCGGCTCCGGGCTGGGAGGCCCCATCACGACCTACCTGTCATCCTCGTTGGAAACAAGAGTGACCTGGCCCGCTCCCGGGAGGTATCACTGGAGGGTGTGTATCCTGAACCAGTTCCATACTTGAGATGCAAGGGGCCGCTTTCCCTTCCCGGTCACCTCTTCACCATAAGGCCTTTTTTATCCTCAGGGATGCACGAACTCACTAGCATTTAGCCTCAGGCTAAAGGCAGAGTCCCACTTCCCACACCTAGAGCCCTACGGATCCTTTGTCTTCCCTCGACCTCACCTCTCTTCCAAGACCCCCTGCTCCCTCCCCCTTCGCAACTCTGCCGCCCCACCTCAGGATCCCAGCCGAGTCCACTGAGTTGCAATTGGTAACTCCAGCCCTCTGCATATCTCACCGGGCCCTGCGCAGGCCCACCCTTGCCCGGGCCCAGTGCTGCCCAGCGGGCGCCTGAGCCTGTTCCTTCCTGCAGAGGGCCGCCACCTGGCCGGGACGCTGAGCTGCAAGCACATCGAGACGTCGGCCGCGCTGCACCACAACACGCGGGAGCTCTTCGAGGGCGCCGTGCGCCAGATCCGGCTGCGGCGGGGCCGGGGCCGTGCCGGGGGCCAGCGGCCCGAGCCGGGCAGCCCCGAGGGCCCCGCGCCGCCCGCGCGCCGCGAGAGCCTCACCAAGAAGGCCAAGCGCTTCCTCGCCAACTTGGTGCCGCGCAACGCCAAGTTCTTCAAGCAGCGCTCCAGGTCGTGTCACGACCTCTCTGTGCTCTGAGCCGCGGTCGCCATGGCCACTGCAGTCGCCATGGCCACCGCACCCTCCGCTCGTCCCCCTCGCCCCGCCCCCGTCCGGCTTCCTTTGTGGAGGCCGTCTAGGAAACCAAAAACTCCCAGGATGCCCTGGTGTGATCGGGAGGAGGGGCCGGTGGGCGTCACCTCCACCCCAGCCACCGCGGGTCCTCTGGACAGCTCGCGGCCAGGGGGCGTCTGGAAGGCGCGGACGCGACCTCGGGCGGATGCGCGCTGCGGTTAGGGGCGGGGCGGGGCAGGAAGGAAAACAGGTCTGCAAGGTATTTTGTTTTTTAGTTAGCTCGCGCTTGGCCACTTCTCCCGTAAAGAGACTCTAAAAACTAGAACTGGAAAAGTGCTTTGTAGACTCCTGGACGGAGTTGACATCCTTTGTACTCTGAACATGCCTCACCTTCAAGTGGGTCTTAAAGGTAAAAACACGGAGACCCAGAGACTTTCGAAACTATTCTGGCTCCTGTCTGTCGCACTGGTCCACTTTGCCCTTAAGAAGTTCTTAAAGGCAAGGGCCTGGAAGCGCTATTCTTGAGTTTGGAATCAATGGTTTACCATGCCGCCACGGCACTTCCCCTTTAAGGTTATTAAAGGGAAGGTGTGGACAGACGTTCTGCCTTTACATTGCCAGAATGTAGAGCTGAGCAGTGGCAACCCTTTTGGCCAGGGCCCAGAAGGCACCAGTAAGGGGCCACCTCTTCCCCTTCCAATAAACAATTTTTCTATTGCCATCTGTTCACGTTGGCTTTCTGTCCTTGGATATGAATGGGAACTGCTGTCACAGACAAAACTCAGGAGCCCGGAGAAACAAGAAACTAAATCTCTAGGGAAACCTTGGAACTCACTTGGTCCTGGGGATGGTCCATTTCAAGGGGGTGATGGGCCCTTAAAGATAATCCGGTCCACTCCACTTTCCAGTGGGAAAACAGACCTGGAGAAAAGCAGGGACCTGCTAGAAAAATTTAGCGACTTAGTGATACAGTGGGACCAAGTGTGGAGACTATGAGCCCCAGAGCGACTCAACTTTTGATTTGGGCTGGTTCAAGGTGGAGGCCATGCCCACCAGGATGCCCATTGGCTGCTGCATGATAGGGTCTGCCTGCACTTCCCCTGGCGGAGCCCTACAGTCCCAGCTGTCACCTGCAAAGCCCTGTGAGTACTGAAACTGTCACTGCCTCTCCTGGGGACACCCACGCCTGCTGCTGCCTGAGCCATGAATTTGAACAAAGGGAGCAGAGACAGCAGCTCTCGTCACCCCTAGACATACAATACAGCTACCTGAGGGCCTGAGGGCAGCCTCCCAGAACTTCCTCTCATGGAAAGAGATAGGAGGTGTTTCCTGAGTCCTTGCATTTGGGGAAGAGCTATGGGGGACCAGCCCAGACTGGATGGTTATGAGATGATAATAAGAATAATGGTACTATCCTTAGGGATAAATTAACTTTACCTGTTAATTCTTTTCAGACTAGATAAGGTGTTACTACCTATTTTACAGTGGAAGAAACACTTTAAGTAGCTTGCCTGAGGTTACCCAGTAAGCAACAGAGCTGTGATTCCACTGTGCACTTGATTTATCCAGCTTTGAATCTGAGATTCCCTTCCAATAAGGATGGGAGGAAGAGATGGAAGTACAGAAAAGATGCTGGGACACAATGAGCAATGGGTGTGGTGAAAGGCCAGAGAAGTTACGTGACTACAGTAGAGGAAGCTCTGAACTCAGGACTATGAAAAGAGAGTTCAAATTTTAAAATGAAGGAAAACACATGGGGCTAAGAAGGGACCAGATGGTTGTACAGTTGAAACCTTAGGGACATGAAGAGGAGGGGGTGAAAGATGAGCATGGAAAAGGTTTGGAGCCTTAAATGCCAGGCAAAGGACTTTGTGTCCAACTCTGGAGGAAGTGAGAGTCCCCAAAAGTCTCTGAATATGGAAGTTACATGGGTAGAATGGTCCTTTGGGAAGAGGAGGCTGGGAGAGGTTTATGGAGTGGTGTAGCAGAGGCAAGACCTGTGGAGCTGAGTTTAGGGACCAGTAACAGTGAAGGGTAATAAAGCACTATCCTGAGGGGGATGGCGGTGAAAAAGGAGAAGCATGATTTGAAGGTCAGAACTGGTCCGGCCTGGCCCAGCATTTGGGAGGCTTCTACCTCAGGAGGATCAAGAGTTCAAAGCTAGCCTGCACTACACAGTTTGACCTTGTCTCAAAGACAAAGCAAAGAATTGATGGGACATGGCAAGAGTGGAAGAGTTGCAGGTGGTGGGCATAAAGTTAGGAACTAAGAGTTGGGGCAGTGAAGGTGTACATGGGGGATGTAAATTGAGCTCTATTTTGGAGACACTGAGTTAGAGATGGAGAATTTCGGTGGCTCCCTAGGCAGATGAGTCTGAAATTCAGAACAAGTTGGGGCAAGAGGCAGACATGAGAATAATTGCCATAAAGATGGTAATAGAAGAGCCCCCTTCATGCAGGGTCAGCTTAATGGATGCAGTTTCACATGGTTCCATGCTTAGTTTAATCCTCTGCTGTGGCTGCCCTGAAATTCTCTGGAGAGTCCTGTGTTTTATTTTATATGAGGACTCACAAATTACACTAACAGATACAGAGTTAGCGTGTAGAGCAGGTCGAGGTTCTTAACAAGAATTGTGGCATTCTTCTGAAATGGTATATATAATCTGATGTATTTGGACAGTCATGCATTTGAGAAAAGAGTTCCCAAATTCCATCAGATTTACTTCTTGACACAACAAATTACAAACCATTGATAGCACTGATTGTACATGAGAAGAGGAACTAGGTGGCTAGAACACAGGAGTGGGAGATTTACTTTTGTATTATATACCATTTTTCTACCTTTTGAATTTTTTTTTTTTTTGCGGTACTGGGGCTTGAACTCAGTACCACCAGCCTCCGCCCCACTTTTTTTGTGTGTGAAGGGTTTTTCAAGATAGGGACTTGTGGAAATATTTGTCTGGGCTGGCTTCAAACTTCGATCCTCCTGATCTCTGCTTCTTGAGTAGCTAGGATTACAGGCACGAGCCACCAGTGCCCAGTTTACCTTTTTGAATTTTCAACTATGGCATTTATTATTCAAAAACTAAATAATTTAAACCATCAGTGTTCTAGAGAAAGAATGACCAAGGAGAGTCCTGGGTACACATAGATGAGTAAGGCAGAGAAGCAACTTTCAAAAAGGTAGTGGGGGAACTAGGACTGAACATATTGCGGCTACTGCCAAGAGTGTAGTACAGGTTTTTTAGAAGGGAAGAATCATCAGTAATCAAAAGTGGCAAGAGAGGAGGATGGGGAGCACCGCAGGTCCAGTGCCTTCCATGTGGTAGAAACTTAAAACAAATCTACTGTATGTTGAAGGTGAAGGCAGGATCTCCCCCAGGAGGGGAGCCACACACCACATGCCTCCCTTCCCCCAGCTCAGCCAGTCCCATCAGCCCGGCCCATCTGTGTGTTCCCTCCAGACGCCTACAGGGAAGAGCTCAGAACAGACAGAAGCTGCAGCCAGACTTGGGAGCGGGAGGGTCTTTGAGAGCCGGGCTAGTCTTCTCCTTCCCTCTGATCAAGGCAGTAGAGTTGTTGGTCCCAACAGAGATGAGAGATCAGCAAAGGGCCTTGGGACTTGAGCTGCCTGTTCCAAAGCAGAGCCCCTCAAGTGCTCCTCTTAACCACTGCAATTATGTCATAGGGGTCTGTGCTTCCTTACTGTTCCCTAATCTAACTCCCACAATCCCTCCTCATTGCCTGGAACATAGGCTGTGTGTGCTGTCCCCTTAGGGGCCAAAGGAGAGGGTAATCCTAAATTGGGAAAGGTGTCCCTCCACTCTGAGCATTTGCTACCTTCTTCAGGCCCTGCTGCACCTAACCCTCTCTAGAGAGACTGGAACAAGGGGACTTTTCTGAAAGGGTGCTAGGGATGTGGGTGGAAGTCCTCTGGAGCTCTTCAGGAGTTCATACACATCTTTTTATTAATCAAATATAGTTTCAATCAACACCAATCTAAGTAAATTTTTCCTGGATATTTTATCTTTCATGTATAAATTCTTTGAAGATATTTTGTTCCCTTCAAGTACCAAACATGCAATATGCCAAGTACTGTGTTGGGAAAACATATATATATGACATGATCTCTGCTCCTCAAGTAGCTTACAATTAAGCTGGGAAGGTGGACAAGTTGGTGACAATGCTAACACTGGTAAAATAGCAGCAAATTAGACCACATTTTAACTGTGGGCTACCCCATATGTTGTAGGAATTCTGAATGGAAGAAACGATACAGCTGGGCATTGGTGCTCACACCTGTAATCCTAGCTTCTCAGGAGGCAAAGATTAGGAGGATGCAGTTTGAAGCCAGCCCTGGGCAAAATAGTTCTGAAGACTCTATCTCAAAAAAACCCAACACAAAAAAGGGCTAGCGGAGTGATTCAAGCGATCTGAGCACCTGCCTAGCAAGCGTGTGGCTCTGAGTTTAAAACCCTAATGAACCAAAAAAAAAGAAAAAAAGAACTCTTTGCTTTTTTGACCCTCAGCTATGCTTTTACAACTATAAAGTAAAGATAATAAAGTGTGTGTCTCTTCTATCTTATAGCATAGTCATAAGAATTAAACAGAAGGGCAAAGATCTTTATAAATTATCTAGTGCTATACAGTGAATTAATGCTTTTTGCAACCTAAGTGCTGGTCCCTTATTTAGGCACCCAAGCAGATTGAGATACTCAAAGCAGAGCACCACTCTGGAGATAAAAAATGTAAGTCCCAGGTCCAATATGTCTCCCATAGGACTCACAGATAACCCATTACTGAGGCTGGTTGTTTGGGAGAGTTTTGCAGAGAAGACTGGCAACTGAAACAGGTGATGGTATTGTACTGCAGTTTTCCATTTTGTTGTGTTTAGGCAGAGTACCTGTGCTGACTTAAAATACTTATTTAAAAAGGAAATTCCTACAGTAGGGCTATGCTCTGAAGACCAACCAACACAAATGCTACAGGTGAGGCTCACCTTTAATTTTCAAAACCATCTGGTTATAATTGGACTATATGGATAGAGCCTCGGGCATAAAGAGCTTGGGTTAGTGTTTGTTTTCCTGAAGGTAGCTGTTTCCGTGTGATATAGGACCTTGTGAACGTAGGACTTTAGCCCAGGAATAACTGCGGTTTATTTTCACCATTGCTCCACCCTTGCTTCTTCCCCTGAAGACTTTTGAGCATTCTCTCTAGAGTTGGGAAGAATGGTCAGGTGGGAAGTGAAGTGAGTAGGCATACTCAGGAATGGGAATAATGATGACAGTAACAAGTTAACAAATTCTAAGCCCTTCACACTTAGTATCTCATTTAATCCTCACACTATTCCTACAAGATCGGTACTATTACTATTTCCTTTTTACAGATGAGGGGTTTGAGTTAGATAAGCGAAGAACCCAAGCTTATTTAGCTAGTTTATGACAGAGGAGGGAACTGAACCATGTAGTGTGGCTCCACTGTGACCATTCTGCTACAGGATGGACATCCCCTAGCTTTCCTGTGTTCAAAGTTGAGGAGGAGGTTAATTCTTACCACCACTTGTTCTGAACAAGTAGGGTTCCTGATGCTTAAAAGCTGACTTAGGCTCTCATACTTTCTGGAACACTGGCAAGAGTTTGACAAGTCTCTGATTTCCAAGGTCATTGCTTCCCTTTTCTAAATCCAGCACTGACTGGCACCTTTCCAGTCTTCAGGCACCTCATCTATCCACCCATCGCTCTCAAAAATAACTGCCTAATGGCTCTCCAGTAACTCCAGCCAACTCCTTAAGGGCTCTTGAGAACAAATCATCTGGAACAGCTACCAGAACTCATGCAACTTTTTAAAGTGGTCTTTGATTGGCTCTTTCCTTGCTCCTGCCTTCCTGCATGATTTAAGCTGGTTAGGCTGCTTCACTTCACATTCAGAGCTCTCTCAACCAGGAGCAAACCTTGAGAGCAAACCAGTTTGAATAGATGAGAACAAAAGTTGGGAGGGAGGAGAAGATGTCTGAAGCTAGAAGATTCAGAGGCGCAGCTTCTTGGGCCAAAATTCTTTTCTTATATCCAGCTCATGACTATTGTCTTCACCTGGTTGCCATGGAAACATCAGTCTCTGGTGGATGGCAAGCAGCACTTTAGACAGAAAGTATCACAGGCTACCATGGTAACACCCAAAAGAGTGAAGATTCATCCTCTCTCCTAGAGGAGTAAGAAAGAAATGGATGATGGTGCTGGTGCTGGGGAAAGCAAACTAGAAAGGACAGCATTTGAAAAGCCTGGCTTTGACTTTAACAGAAAACTAATTCAACAGACATTTAATATGTGCAAGGCAAAGCATACTGAACAAGACTTGTATGGTGACCTCACCATGCTATTACCATTTAGTAACAGTTTGCAAAGAACTGTAAATGCAGAATGAGACACACGATAGGACAAAGACTACTGAAAAGAGAGATCAACTCAACTAGGGAAGTTTTAGTGTCTTGCAAGACAGGACTTTGACCAGGAGCAGGGGAGGATGAAGAAGAGCAAGATGAGCAGACATGGAATTAGAAAACCTCAGGTCAGGGCTGTGGGTGCAGCTCAGTGGGAGAATGCCTATTTAGCATGTGTGAGGCCCTGAGTTCAAACCCCAGCATTATGCTTCCTGCCAAAAATATCTCACTGTCTACTGAGAGCAGTAGGTATAGATAGGAAAAGTGCCACTTGCCTGCTGACTTCCAAGGTCTAGTGGTGCTGAGAGGCAGGTTAGGGGATCTGAAACAACACTAGCTTGCTGAGACTGTGAGGCAAGTTATTTAATCTCTTTGCGTATCAGCTCCTTGTTCACAAAGCAGACAGTAAAACAACTTACCTCACACGGTTGTGAATTACAATCCTACCTAATCCACACCAATCTTGCATAAATGTTAACAATTGTAATTATGTGACCTCCTACTCCCCTCGGTTTTCAGAGCTACAATAGCCTCTTTTCAAGGTCCAAGAGTTACAGTGATTCTCACTAGACCCTCCTTTACACAGGAGAAAAGAGGAGCTGTGATGTAATTTCTCTGCCAGTTTTATTTATTTACTTGGCAGTTTACCTTTACCATAATTTTCCTCTTATTCAGTTACTTTTTTTTTGCCATACTGGGGTTTGAACTCAGAGCTTCGTTTGCTAGGCAGGTGCTCTACCACTTGAGCCACACCTCCAGTCTGTTTTGCTCTGTTAATTCTGTTTGGGGTCTCTGGAACTATTTACGTGGGCATTCCTCTCACTGTGATCTTCCTGATGCCAGCCTCCCAAGTGCTAGGATTACAAGCGTGAGACACTGGCACCCAGTACAGTTTCAATTTAAATGCAAATCTGTAGACCTCTTTCAAGTTCTTGCCAGTTTCACTGACGAACTTTTTTGGTGGTACTAGAACTCAGAGCCTCACATCTGCTAGGCAGGCACTTCACCATTTAAGTCACACCCTCAGCCCTGGTTTTTTATTTTTACAAGCTTTTTAATTTTTTTGTGGTACTATGATTTGAACTCTGGACCTTGTGCTCGCTAGGCTAGGCAAGCACTCTACCACTTGAACCACGTAACTTTTTTCTCTTTTCTTTTGGCAGTAGTAGTATTTGAACTCAAGTCCTCACACTTGCTAGGCAGTTGCTCTACTATGTGAGCCAAGCCCCCCAGCACTGTTTTTTTGGTTTTTTTTCGAGACAGGTCTTGCTATGCCTGCCTCAACCTCTCGCGATTCTCCTGTTTCTGCCTCCGAAATGTCTGGGAGGTACACACCACCACACAGATATTTTTAACCCATTTCCCTCCATTGTGTGTCAGGACTAAAGCCCCTGTAAGCCCCACAGGTAGTTCACCTCTAGGGGTTGTTGGAATCTAAGAAGGAGGTAGGCAGAATTCCTATGACAAGAACACAGAAGTTTAAAGGAAGGAGATGGTTTTGCCTTAGGGAAGACAGAAGCATAGACTATAAGCCCAAATTTAGGGGAAAATACTGTTTAAAACTAGAATGATGGGGAAATTCTAACTGCTGAGCAAGGATCTGGGTCACAGTCTCATATTCCTGTCCCACCCATACTTAGGAGAACTGGAGGTAGGTTTCTTTTACCTCAGACTGGGCAGAGGCTGTTCACTGCCTCCTTCTTTCCACTCTAACCACCCCCCATGGAGGGATGAGTAACAAGGCATTGAGTCACACACAGTGACACCAGCTGTCACCTACTAGATGCCATCACCTTATATGGGTTTAGATTAGAGCAGTTGTTTTAGATGTTTCCTTGCTTTCACCACTGTCTCACTCCCAGCAAGAGGCTACATGAGGAACTAAGAAAAGAGAGCAAAGAAGAACCAAGATGGAAGGACCAATGTATATACAGAAAGGCTGAAGTAACTAATGATGGGAATATAAGGAAACCAAGCAGAAACGCGGACCCATAGGAGGACAGGGAGACAAGGTATAAAAGTCTGAAGGAGTCCAAGCAAGCCATCAGGAGGCCTACTTCAAGCCCTCAGGATGACTAATAAAATTTGTCCCTATGCTTCTCAAGATGCATTAGCAGCCAAATCAATAGCTATAGGGACCTGGGCCATAGTCAGCAGTTCCTAACAAAAAATAGTGCGTACTTCTTCCCTTCCCCCAGATCCAGAGAGCAAACTAGGATAAGACTGGGAAGGGGTGGGGGTGGCAGTGAGCAGAAGCGTAACAGTAGGTGAGACTGCTGGCCAACAAGAATCCAGAGTCAGTCCAGAATACCAGTGGCCCTCTGTATCATAAGCAGGCCTCCAGTGCTTAGTGACTTAATGTCTAAAAGAGGCTAACATCTCTACAAAACCATCACCCCACTTAGAAGTCAGAGAGCTGACAAATTAAATCCTAACAGCAATTATCCATATTTTTAGCATGATAAAGTCTTAACATTCTGTTGCTATAGAGATCAGTAAAGAATGGAGAAGCCCCACAGAGCCCTGCCCCTGAATTTAGGACTTTTCCTTTTGCTTGGTTCCTAGGCTAGGGAACCAGGCTCTTTCCCACCCCTTCTTATACAAAGCAGGAAGGAGAAGGCACACCTCTCCTTATGCAGAATTATCCCTGAAATACTCAACTCTCCAGAATTCACTAGACCCAAGCAGAGCCATATAAAAGAGCCCCAGGCAGAGTCATGTAAAAACCAAGGGTTGAGGGAACTGAACAAGAACAGCAGACATCATGTCAGGGTGGTCCTAATGTACAGTGCCCATGCCCCTTTGGATACTGGACTGGGATTTCTACTACCCTGGGTCAAAGGCAGGCACAAAGGCCAAGAGTGTAAGAATGAGCTTAAGAGGCTTCTCTGGTACTTAAGTTCCTCAAGATCACAGAACACCCCCAGAGGAAGGAGCAGAAATGCTACTGTCACACTGCCATCTGGTGGAAAGACAAAATTTGTCTTTAGGCAGAGAAGAATGGAAGTCTGTCTAATGGGGCAGGTAGGTATGGAAACAGTTCAGATGACAGATAGAAAAGATGGTGTGGCTGAGAGTAACGCTATACAGTCTCCTATATCTAATGCAGACACAGAGGGGGAGCTCCACCCAGGTATAAGCCTTTGGTTCATTTTTCTTTCTAAAGATTAAATAAAACAAAATAAAGAAAACACAATGCATTATAAATGTTTCATATCCTTGGAACCATTATGGTTTTGGCTCAGAAGTTAACATCAGTTAGACACTCAAACTAACAGAGACCACACACAACAACAGACACAACAGGGAGCTTGCCTTTTGTACAAAGTTTATATATATTTATATATTTATATTTATGTACACAGACACAAGGGTGTAAAATCCAGTGACAAGGGCTCACACATACCCAGACAGGAGATAAGAGGGACTTTTAACTGCCAGGGTTGAGGGCACAGTAGAGGCACACAGGAAGTGGAGGAGAGTGGTGACCTTCCCTCCCACCCTCCCACCCTAGGTCTAAGGGAGGACCTGGGAAGAAGGATAAGTATAAAAAGAAAGATGGACGATATTGGATAGATGCCCCACCTTTCCTAAACTCTTGAGAGCCACTAAGGCATCCCAACTACCTGGCAGGTTAGACCACTCCCACGCCTCCCAATAAGATGCTGAGCCTCTAGTAGTAGCTGTGGCCTCAAGCTTTACCAAGCTGAGACCCAAGATGGGCTTCACAGTGCACATGTCCATCGTGTCTTCTAGCGCCCTGTAGAAAATGCCAGCACCTTAAAGGTGCACGCCTTATACTTTAAGTCCCTAGATGCACAGGTCCTACAAGTTTCCCTTGACAGGTTATAGGGTAAAGGTACAGGAAAAGGAGAGAGGTTAGTTCCATTAGTTTAATGCCCTGCAGCCTTCCCAATGGGAAAAAAAAATCAAGGAATGGATAAGAGGTGGTGGGAAAGGGCAAGATGGTCATCTTGGAGACAATACCCAGGATAAACATAGGTATAGATTCATTGTAGATGTAGATTCCATTCTCTTCAGCTGGGGTCTTTGCTCAGCAGAGTCCACTCCCAGTAGAACATAGATGAGAACTCTTCTTGGTGTCTATGAGTGACCCCAGTTCCTCCAGAATTAATGTCCATGTCTTCAGGATGGCTTGTCCACAAAGTGGAAAACTGGGCAGTGGAGTACATGTGGAGAAGGAATTCACAGAACCCAGCAGCACAGGGAGGTAGTGTGCTATGCCACTGATTTACCTGTGGCAAGGGAAAGAAAGAAAATAACCAGAGATGGGAGTGTGGCTCAGTGGTAGAGCATTTGTCTCATATATGCAAGGCTATGAGTTCAATTCCCAGACACAAAAGTATAGAAAGAAAAGATGGGAAAAAAGAGAGAAAAAAAAAGAATAATCAAAGACTAAAATGTGCTAAGCCCAGGAACTCACATGGTCTGAGGGGTAAAGAGGCTGGAGAGCTGGAAGCACTGGGAAGCGATTGCCTGGGAAGCAAGATTCAGGGCTGGACTCAGAGCTGCAACAAAGAAATGCAGAATGATTGAGCACAGAGCATCCTTTTTTCCAGGCCCAATCCTTCTTTCCCTTTCCCAAGTTTACTAAGTCTACCAGTTAGAGCTGCCGGATTCAAGGTGCCCAAGGGAACTGCTCCATTTAGGTGCAAGGCAGCAGTCTGCACAGCCGCAGCCTGCATGGCAGCAGCTGTGGTTGGCAGCTGGATTCCAGAGCCTAAAAAAAGAGAAGGTGGAGTTAGGTCCCAATCCTTAACTACAATTCACTTCCATGTTCTTCACCCAGAAGATACTCTACCTTCTGCCAGTTTGGCCATGAGCTGCAAACGTCCACCTGCTGATGCCAGATCCAGTTCCTGGTCCCCATCAGGAAAAGTGATGTCTGTGCCACCATCCAGCCGCTCAGTCACATGGCCAACTCTCATGGGTCGACCAGCAAGTTCAAAGCCATTTAACTGTTCCAGGGCCCGCCGGGCACACTCGGAATCAGAGAACTATAGGAAACCCAGGCTGTGTCAGTCACCCCCTGGTCAGATATGTTCTCAAAGCCCCACTTAACTAAATTCCCTAGTTCTACCATCCCAGGAAATTTGCATGCTCACATGGTGAAACTTTTCGGGAAATGGGACCTAAGATCCCTTTTTCCCCAAAATGGTTGTCTGAAAAGGACCTTTTCCAACTGACTCAATGAAAATCACTTTTCAATATTCCAGCTCTACTAACAATCTAATAATACAAAAAGTCTGTCATCTGCAGAAAATCTAGCCTAACAGGCTATTTAAAAAAAAAGGGGGGGGGCATATAATGGAAGACAAGCTGGGAGCCAAGGCTTCTGGGCTTTTAATTTATCCCTTAGGACTAAGTTTTAGTTCTCAATCAAGTACTAGGAATCTGGAACTCCAGATTCCAGACTCTGGGACTCTAGAGCCCATGCTTAGGAGGAAATACACTCCAGTGTTAAGAGCAGACAGCACCTCCACCCCCACATACACCCACCAGTGCTGCTAATTAAGTGACCTGTAGAGAGGTTCTGCTCTCTAGTCCCTTTCATCAATAGTACTAGCAGCACCCGGGTATGAAAATTCCCAATCTGCTGTTTGTGTGTCAAGGCTGTTGACCTAAAGGGCAACAACAGAAGCCTTTCTGTGTCTGAGTCACAGAGAGAGCTAGAAATGGTTACTTGCCACTAAGGAATCATCAAACAGCTGGCTTTGTTTACTCTGGTATTACCTGCCCTAGGGCCTGGCATGTGGTTCTGACAGTTCGTAGGTAGGTGGTATAGGTAGCTTGCTTTTACTGGATACTTCTGAGATGAACAATCCCCATGACGGGACACAACCTGCCCCCCTCCCACCCTGTGGGTAACTGTAGGGGTGTATGTTGCCTGGATTAAGCCCAGAAAATATCAGATTCTATGAGACTCCATGGCTGGCAGCCAGTTCTCAGCCTATAGTCACAAGAGGCTGGATGAGCCAGTTAAAGGAAATGGAAACAATTTTGTTGGGAGTGTCAGGAAAATAAGAAACATGTCCACTACTAGTAGTCTCACTGTTCTCCCTATAGTGACAGCACTAATACAAAGATCCTTCTCAGTGAACAAATTGCTTCAAATTGGGGTAGTGCCAGAGGGAAGTGTAACTTTCTATTCCTACCCCTACCCTAAGAATACACCAACTCTATACAGCATGTCTTTAAAAGCCCATACCTAACCTCCCTCATGCCCTCAACCTTTCAGCTGCAGCCTGAAATCATTACTATTACCCAAAGAGCAAGTTGCAGCACCAGGGAAGCTGGATGAAATCCTGGACACCCCCATACCAGGGCCACTGACAGAGTGTAGGAGCAAAGCCAAGATCTCAAGTAATGCACTCATCTCAAGGGGCAGAAGGCTAGTCCAAGCTTCTGGCACCAGGGTTTATGGGTCATTTAGACAGTTCCTAAAGGAGGAGGATGAAGCTAAGCTGCAAAATCAGACAAGTGGACAAACCCAAGTAAAATTTAAAATTTAAAAGACTAGAGACTCACCATAATGAAACCATAACCTTTAGAGCGGCCTGTATCTGAGTCCTTCATCAGGACAATGTTATCAATCTGTAGCAGAATAGGAAGGAATCATTAAGAATCTTTCGACTACTCTACATCTTTCCTCTTTTTTATCCAGACTGTTGTAAATACCTGTAACTTTCTAGCCAATAAATTACACCTCATCAACCCCATTCTCTCCCTCCCTTCCTTTTTTTTTTTTTTTTTTTTTTTTTTGTGGTACTGGAGATTGAACTCAGGGCTAGCACATGCTAAGCAAGCAACCTACCACTGAAGAGACATCCCAACCTTCCAAACTATCTTTATTTGCAGTACTGGGGCTTGAACTCAGGGCCTACACCTTGAGCCATTCCACCAGCCCCTTTTTTATGATGGGTTTTTTTTCCAGATAGGGTCTTGTGAACTATCTGCCCCAATGGCTTCAAATCTCAATCCTCCTGATCTCTGCTTCCTGAGTAGCTAGGATCACAGGCATGAGCCACTGGTGCCTGTTCAAACTTTCTTTTAAAAAGAGATGAAGGAGTGCCTGCTTAGCAAGCATGAAGCCCTGAGTTCAAACCCTGTATACCTCCAAAAAAAAACAAAAAGAGATGAAAGGGGTTGTTCTCATTCTCACTCTGGAGATGACCTAATAAACTTCCTTATCACATTCACTAAAAAGGATGAAGGCCATCTTTTTCCAAAACACTAATCTTACTTATTCTGGACCCTCTTATTTGACCTCACCTTATCTATCTTAGTTGTCTACTGAGCAGCATGAATAGAAATAGAGCCTAATTGTCACAGCATATGCCCATGATAGACATAGTCAGTTAATCATGGCCAAACAAAACAGAGAGGTAGATTCAGCCTCCTTACCTTTCCAGCTCTCTTTAGAGGTTTCCCTTACTTTCTACTCACTTTGCCAAAGGGCTCAAAGATGCCCCGGAGCATGTCCTCAGTGATATTGAAGTGCAGGGAGCCCACATACAGGCGCATCGGTCCACCACTACCCTTTTGCAGGTTGTTGGCCATGGCTGCCAGTCGGTTTTTCTCAGCCTATGGAAGGAATAAATGATGGGTCACATTCCACATTCCTCTCCATCTTATAATCTTTTACTGTGTCAGTATCTCAACTTGCTCACCTGTGAGGCCTGTACAATGATTGGCACTCCTAGCAGTCGTTGCCCAGTCAGCCCAATGGCTAGTGGCACAGACTGCATTTCACAGAATTCTACGTAGGCAATGCCTTTAGAACGCCGTGAATTCCGATCTGAGATGATACGCACATCACGAACCTATCCCGGGATACAAAAGAAATTCTCAGTTGGGCGTAAAGGGAGACAGATAAAGATAAACTACAAAGGTAGGAAGGTTACCTTGCCAATGGCAGAAAAAAAGTCCTCCAGGTCTCGAGGCCTGATGCGGGCAGCTAACTGCATGCAGAAAACTGTGCGAGCATCACGCTCCTCGGGGCTCAGATTATCAACTGGCTCCCTAAAGAGTGAAATGTGTTGAGCCCAACCCGCTCAATACTTGTCACTGTTCTTCAGCTAAGCCTTAAGTAACACACTTTTTAATTGTTTTTTTTTTTTTAACACACATTCTTATAGTTTGGCTCTACCAACCTTTTATTCACACTTCATAATGCCTAAAAAAGTGCTCATTGTCAACTCACCTGACTGGGCTCTTCTCTCTGACCTGAGGACTCTTACTGCGTCCATACCTATACCTACAAGACAGAGAAAAACAAAAGTAAAACCTTAATGCTGGGTCTTTCATCATAAGAAAATCAGATTCCAGGGCTGGCAGGGTGGCTCAAGTGGTAGAGCGTCTGCCTAGCAAGTGTGAGGCACTGAGTTTAAACCCCAACACCACCAAAAATTTAAAAGAAAATCAGATACCAGTATCTCATCTCACCCATGAATTTTTCTTTTGGTGGGACTGGGGTTTGATCCCAGGGCTTCACACTTACAAAGGAGGCACTCTACCACTTGAACCACATCTCTAGTCCATTTTTTGCTTTGTTTATTAGATGGGGGTCTTCCAAACTATTTGCCCAAGTTGGACTTAAACTGATATCCTCCTGACCTCAGCCTTCCAAGTAGCCAGGATTACAGGGTTGAGCCACCAGCACTCAGCACACATGTGAACTGTTTTTTTTTTTTTTGTGGAACTGGGGTCTGAAATCAGAGCTTCACCTTCACAAAGCAGGTGCTTTACCACTTGAGCCAGTCTTACATATAGACACACAGGTTGGGCCTCCATAATCTGTAAAGCTCCTAAATCTAAAACATTGTTCAGTGCCAACATGACACCACCCCAAGTGGGAAATCCTACATCTGACCTCACCTGAGGGGTTGTAATAAAAACACAAGCATGCTGAAAATGTATAAAATTACCTTCAGGTTATGTAAGATGAATGTGCAATATAAATGAATCTTGTGCTTAGATTTGAATCTCATTCCTGAGAAATCTTATTATACATATGTAAATGTTAAAAAATTTGGAAAAATCTCAAATCTGAAATACTTCTGGTCCCAAGCAATTCAAATAAGGTGTACTTAACCTGTACCAGCCTTCCAGTAACTGACTATTCTGCCTACCACAATAGGGTGTTAGCAGAGTCCATAGAGTAACTTCTTGTAGTCAAATTAAGATTCAAGGGTGAAGACTGGGGATGAAGCTTAATGATATATTTGTAAGAGGGTATAGGGTGATATTATTAGCAAAAGATGATACCCAGTGAGAAGTGGAGGACTCCTATAGTGCACACGATTCTCACGACGCCGGTCTTGACTTCGTGACTCACTACTGTGTCGTCGATCCCAACTACGGCTGCGGTGACGCCGCTGCCGATCGTGACTTCGGCTCCGACTGTTTCTCCATCTATGCCGATCCCTGTCTCGACTATGACTACAGACAGAAACAACTTTTTTTTGGTCCTTAATTTATTAGCCTTCCATGTTTATCTTCCCACTTTAATAATTCCCCAAACCCAACAGCTCCCAGAATTATTGACCTGCACTTTCCATCCTTGCTTCTGCTATGGCTCTCATGCCTCTTCTTCCTGTAAAAGAGCATAAGTTCTACTATTGAGAAGGTTTCATGATCTCTCTCAAGGGAAAGGAATGCGAATAAGGCCAGGGTGAAACAGAAGCCCAAACCCTGGAAGATGATCTGGCAGTAGTTCAGGGACTGCACGATACCAGCTTACACAAAGCCCCAAATGCTGTTAGACATCTGAAGTAGCCATTCCCCTCCATCCCCCCAAAGTCAAGCAAACACTAATGTTTCCAAATCAGGGATCCTCTTGCTAGTTACTCAAATCAACTACGTCGATGCTAGGACTGATCCACAGATCTATACTGAGAAGCAAAGACTAGAAGATCATTAAACCAGGTCACCATTACTCCCATGACCCAGTGGAGCCATCATTAAAAGTCAGCAGTTTTAAGAGCAACCACTCCCTATTCTGGCTGTTTCTCCAATGGACACAGTTCCTTCCCTTCCCCAAGTTGCCAACCCAGTTCTTCACCCCACACTCACTTGCTGGTCTCCCCAGTGGTGGTGCTCCCACTGGTACCACTGCCACTGTTGCCGGTGCTGCTGGTGGTATTGCTAGGACTGTCTTTTTTAACCTCTTTCCTTTGCTGTTCATCCTGAGGAGTTCACCAGGAAAATGTCACAAGGTACAAGGTGGCAGACACACAGATTCCATTGGGCAAAAAGAACAAAGGTGGATAAGGAAGAAATCAAAGTTCTCGATTATCTAGCCAGTTTTTGAGCACCTGGATCTCCTAACAAAGGGAGTAAAAGAGGAAGCAAGGAAACTACCCAAAAGAGATCAGAGTGACAGACTTTGATGTCAAATGTCAGCTACCCAACATCTGTCACACTGGTATTATTTCTCAGGACAGCAAGAAACTGCACTAAGTCTGAGGTAAACTGACCTTCTATTATCATTGAGCGTTACTAGCAAAGCACACATTACCACCGCAGTAGGTACCCACCACCCCTACTTTTCAGGGCCTTTTCTAAAATTATGGTCCTCAAATATAGGTCCCCAATGAAGTTTACTAACACTGTGACTTTGATGAATAATCACTAAACAAGCAGTAAAAGAGGATTCACAAAATGTTCAAACTGATGACCCATAACTGCTCTTTCTTACTAACCCAATTCCAGGAGTGAGATGGGAATATTACCTCCTCTTTTTTATAAGGAGCTTCCAGCATGGCCTCAATCACTATATCAAAGTCATCAGATGCCATCTTGTCAGATCTGAGGAGAGGATATCGATACGTAAGAACCTACATGTATTTTTCCTCCCCTTCCAGCACCACATTCCTTTCCCCCTCCAAGAAACAGATTCAGGATATTTACCAGTTGTCACTTATTCTAGGTTTATTTTTGCATCCTATAGATCTGAACTAGTTGTGCTTTGTAACTCAGAAATGGTCACGGGTCTGAAACCTAGCTAGAGACAAAATATAATAGAGTTTTATTCTGTGAAGAGAAAATGTTGGTATTCGAAATTGCCCTTCACTTTACAAAGGACACTAGACCTACATTCTACTGTTCAAAATTCTGAAAAAACGACCGGATTAAACTTAAACCATAATACAGGCACACATTTCCAATAAAAAAGTAAAGATGTAAGACTAAAAATCAGAAGTCAGACAAAGCCACATCAGCATGATGCAAATTTGCCTTAAGCTCTTCCTTCCATACCCCAAACACCAATAACTAGGGCCTCCTCAGTAAGGATTTCTTGTTCGATAACAACTATAGTTTAGGTAACTCAGAAATACGATAAAGATAGGGTTAACCAATCCCATCTTGAAGTCTTCCTGTGTGGCAGGCAGGGGAAAACTTCTTGTCTCCTTCCCCGATTTTTCACATCTAGCAACTGTCTCCCTCAGACTGTCTGCCACAGATCTGTCAAATAAGAAAATCGAAAGCAACCAAACTCCTGTCTGGGAAGAGGGTACTGGTGGAAGAGGGGAGGATATAAGGAAAAGGGGATGTGGTAGAAATACTATGTATAGATGTATATAAGTAGAAAAATGATACCCCATTCCAAGAATGGGAGAAGAGGGGTAAAGGAGAATAACATGGGGTGAATTCAACTATGATATATTGTAAGAAATTTTGTAAATGTCACAATGTACCCCCCAACACAACCATAATAAAAATAAAGTATAAAAAAAGCAACCAAACAAAAGCAGTAAGATAATATTTAAAACATTACTGCTCTAGGATTATTGATACAATATGAATGAATCTCAAAATAATTATGCTGAATAAAAGAAACGTGATAACCAGGCATGGTGCTACACACCATCTCAGCACTCAAGGAGTGGAGGCAGGAGGATCACAATTTTTTTTTTTATTCATAGGTACATACAATGTTTGGGTCATTTCTCCCCCCTTCCTCCTGCCCCCTCCCTTAACCCCTCTACCCTCTCCCCCTTGCTACCAGGCAGAAACTATTCTGCCCTTATCTCTAATTTTGTTGAAGAGAGAGTATAAGCAATAATAGGAAGGACCAAGGGTGTTTGCTAGTTGAGATAAGGATAGCTATACAGGGAGTTGACTCGCATTGCTTTCCTGTACATGTGTGTTACCTTCTAAATTAATTCTTCTCAAACTAACCTTTTCTCTAGTTCCTGGTCCCCTTCTCCTATTGGCCTCTGTCGCTTTAAGGTATCTGCATTAGTTTCTCTGTGTTGAGAGCAACAAATAGGATCACAAATTTGAGGTCAGCCTGGGCCTATATAGTGAGATCCTGTCTCTATGTAAAAAAAAAAATACAAGGCTGGTGGAATGGCTCAAGTGGTAGAGTGCCTGCTTAGCAAGCAGGAGACACTGAGTTCAAATCCCAGTGGTGCCCCCCAAAAAAAACCCCAAACCTGAAATCCCACAAAAGAATAAGAATATAGACTGACTGATTCCATTAATAAAATTCTAGAAAATGAAAACTAATTTATAGTCACAGAAAGCAGATCTGTGATTGCCAATGTTATAACAGCAGGTGGAGACAGGATGGGGGGAGTATTTTAGGAGGGCACAAAAAACCTTTGAGAATAACCGTTTCATAGATGTTTACACAGATCAAAACCCATTAAGCTGGGCACCTGGTGGCTCACGCCTGCAATCCTACCTACTTGGGAGGCTGAGATAGGAAGGATCTCAGTTCCAGGCTAGCCCAGAAAACAGTTCATGAAACCTTATCTCCAAAATAACCAGATTAAATAAAAACAAACAAGCAAATACACCAAATAATCATGAGGTCCATTTTGAGCCCTCAGCTCAAACCCCAGTTCTGCTAAAACCAAAAACTAAACCAAAATACCCCCATCAAACTGTCCACTTTAATATGTGTACAATTTTACTGTATGCCAAATACATATACCTCAAAGATGCTGGGAAAAAAGAAAAGACTGGGCATAGTGGTGCATATCTATAATACCAGTACTTGGGAAGCTGAGAGAGGAGGATCATGATTTCAAGACCAGCCTGGGCTACATAGCAAGACCTTGTCTTAAAAAAAACATTAATTGGAGCTGGGAATGTAGCTCAGTGAGTGTTTGCCTAGCATGCATGAAGCCCAGGTTTTGATCCCCACTACTGCAAAATAAATAATTTGAGGAATTTCTACGCAACAAGACTATCAAAATCATTTTCCATGTCCATAAGAGCATGATTTTTTTTGATGCTGTTGTTGGGACTGGGATTTAGGGCTTCATACTTACAAAAAGGCCTACTCTATCACTTTTTTTTTTTTTTTTTTGGCAGTACTGGGGTTTGAACTCAGGGGCTTGAGCCACTCCACCAGCCCTTTTCTGTGATGGGTTTTTTCAAGATAGGGTCTTGGGAACTATTTGTCTAGGCTGGCTTTAAACCTCCATCCTCCTGAGGAGCTAGATGTGAGCCACCAGCGCCTGGCTAGGCTTTGCCACTTGAACCACATCTCCAGTCCATTTTGGTCAGGTTATTTTGGAAATGGGGTCTCTCCAACTATTTGCCAGTGCTGGTCTCAAATTTCTATCCCCTGGATCTTAGCTGGGGTTTGAACTCAGGGCATCCTACTTGCTAAGCAGGTGCTCTACCACTTGAGCCATCATTTTTCGCCCAGGCAGGCCTGGAAGGTTGGTAGTTTTCAAGTTCTCCCTGTGCCCTAACTTATGGATCAAGGTCCTCTCAATTCCATCCACTTATACACTATAGGGTATTCTTCCATCCTTGTATGTCAGGGCACAGTCAAGACCCCAGCAAGCACACAGACCTCATTGCTGAAGGGGCAGAAGAGTGATTAAGAATCACTGTTAGTACTGTTCAGGAAAAATTCATCAAATGCTGAAGTCTCAGGGGTGAGGGCAGTGGCATGTCCTGCCTGGAAGTCACCTAATTGGTCAGAAACACCTCCAAACTGAAAGCAGCTTAATTAAGAACTGGAACAGGCTGGGGTGCTGGTGGCTCACATATGTAATCCTAGCAACTCGGGAGGCAGAGATCAGGAAGATAATGGTTCAAAGCCAGTCCTAGGCACATAGTTCATGAGACCCTATCTAGAAAATACCAAACACAAATAAGGGCTGTTGGGATGGTTCAAGTGGTAGAGTGTCTGCCTAGCAAGCGTGAGTCCCTGTGTTCAAGCCCCAGTATAGCCAAAACAAACAAAATACCTGGAATGATGAGAAAGGCAAACACTGAGCTAGGAACTCAAGTGGTAGAGCCTTGCTGGGCACTTTCCAGAGCTCCCTCTTCTCTCCAAAAACGACAAAAACATTACTTGAAGGACCTCCCTCCCCTTGTTGAATAATGAAACAAGGCTAGTCTTTTTTAAATTGTCAATATGCCCAGAGTGGTGGTGCTCGCTTGTAATCCCAGCACCCGGAAAGTTGAGGCAAGACGACAGAAAATTCAAGGCCAGCCTGGGCTATAGAGTGAGCGCCAGTCAGTGTGGGATACAGAGTGGGACCCTTGTCTCAAAAAAGAAAAAGATCCTCTAAGTAACTAATTGGCACCATCTTTACAAAAGCCAGTGTTCCCAATGCTCCACCTCCCTATGTGGCTTCATTATATGCCTCCAGAATGTGTGGTCAGAAAGTTAAAAGCCTGTACCAGCTAACATGGTGGACATGAGTTTTCAAAGAACTCTCAATTCCTTCGCTCCTCTCTGAGCGGTGGCACGAGTGGCCAAGAGCATGATACGTGTCCTCTCGGGCCGCGGAGGGCCGACGCGCCTTCCCCCAGTATGGGCGACCCTAAACTTCACGGCTGCGGGGTCCAGCAAACAGGTCGCTGGGATCCTTAAAGTCACATCTTTGTCGGCATAGGACATAGCCACGAATACTTTCAGGACAAAATAAACCAAAAAATTTGTTTGTTTATTGTTTAATTTTAAAAGCTGCCTGATTCTGTTCATTACGCCACTGTATACCTGTGACGTCAAGGGGAGGCGCCGCGCAGCAACGTCACACAGGTGACGCAACGAGTCGGGCAGGGTTTCAGGGTTTCTCACCAGTTCCGGGTCCCCGCAAGGGGTCCCGGTTCTCTCCGTTCCGTTGGGTGCGTTGCGCACGCGAAGCTCGGCAACTTCTTACAATCTTAAGCAGTAAAACCAGTACAGCAGCCGGAGCCGCTCTTCTTCCCGCAAAATGGCGGCACCTCCACTTTCTTCCAGAACCTTCTGTAATCTGCGCATGCGCCGGAACACTGAGGCGCTCTACCTAACCTCGCTGGTGTCGCGGCGGCAGTCCAAAGTACAGGTTTTCATTGGTTAAAAGGCTAAGTATGGGTGTTTCTTAGCAACCATCAAGTTCCCACTGATTGGCTCAGCTCTCAGAGACTCAAGAAAAGTGGAAGCTTCCTTTGGTAGTTGTCCATCATTCTCTCATTGGCCAAGTGACTTGCGGAAGGCGGGATAGAGAGCTGGAGCGAAGGACCCACCTGCGCCACTCCCGGCGCTCGCAGTACCTGATCGTGGAGGGCGGAGCCAGCGAGGGGGAACCAAGGACGTCCTTGGCCGACCTCCCTCTGATTTGCTGAGGGGAACGTGTCAATCTTTCTCCGAGCAGCTTTGCGGTGAGCAACTACGGTGTTTCGCGTCTGGGTTGCAGGACTCCACACCTCCATTCAGAGCAGACTACCTGTCCACCCCTCGCGACCACCGCTTCCTGACCTTACTACCTGGGAAACTCAAGTCTTGCCGCAGATGTCTAATTGCCTGGTCCTACACCTTCCATCCAAACCTGTGCTCCCACCCTTTCCACTGCGAGTGTAAGTTTTGAGTTTCTCAGATTCCTTTAGTACAGCAGTATTTTGCCTTCTAACCATAAGAACGGATGTCCATCCCCACTTCCCTGGGGCTTCCAAGACCCCGCTAGGGACTTGAGCTGCCTCATATAGCTGCCTAAGACATAGCTGGTTAGAACATAGAGGACCCGAGTTTGTTCTGATATGGATATGTACTAACATTCTGTCATGGAACTGATTTCAAAGTCCCCTTCCGCAAAATGGAAAACTGGATTGCCTTTTAGGATTTAAAACCCTGTTATTTTTTTGTGTGTACGATGGTTTTTTGCAGCTGGGTCTCACGGACTATTTGCCCAGGCTGACTTCCAACTGCGATCCTCCTGATGTCTGCCTCCTGAGTAGCTAGGATTACACGCGAGAGCCACCAGCACCCAGCTAAACCCTGTGATTGTTTCTGGGGTTTGATCTCAGGGCCTTCACCTTCAGCCACTCCACCAGTCCTGTTTTATGATGGGTTTTTCAAGATAGGGTCTCTCAAACTATTTGCCTGGCTGGCTTCAAACCACGATCCTCCTCATCTCTGCCTCCTAAGTAGCTAGGATTACAGATGTGAGCCATCAGCAACCACCAACCCTGTGATTTTATTCAAACAAAATAGTAGCTCTTGTTGGAGATACCTGAATGGCTTCCAGTTTCTCTCCCAAGAATTAACAATGGGGGTGGCAGTACAGCATCTCAAAAAAGCAGAAGGGAAGCTCCTCCCTGTCAAATTCTATGCCTTCTCTCCAGAGAAGAGCCTAACCAAAAGTTGTAATGGACTGGTCAGAAAGGCCTGTATCTAGGAGTCCAAGAGTTACCTCTCAACTTTATGTGTTGTTGCTGGGGATGGAGGAGGACCTCATGCATACATGTCAGATAAACACTCTACCACTAAGCTACACCAACTCTCACTCAGCTTAAGTGGGAAATTAAAGCTAGACCCCTTAGGTCTTGGACAGGATAAGGGCACAGACCTAAACATGCCTGGATCTAAGTGAGGTGTGGGAAAACAGGCAGGGAGCATCAGGATAGAGCAAGAAAGGGCCATAACTTCACTTTATTTGTGTTTCCTTCTTACACAAACCATCAAAACAAGAACAGAGGAGGGCAGGGAAAGGACTGAAAATGTGTTCAGTCCACATGTTCTCTTGAGGCTGAGTGCCAGTTGATGTAGCATCAGATCCAGCATTACTAATTCCTCATGTTCTGAACTGAGGCCTTCACAGATTGGTGGCATGAGCCACGCAATTAACCCTTATCCCTTGACTACCCTGATGTAAGGTAGGAAAGACTGAAGTGTGCTTCTCTGATGAGCGAAGGCTTCATAGATGGACTGCACCAAGAGACACACTGCACCTTCTTGTTCTAGGAACAGAACCTAAAGCTGCTTCCAAAGCCGTAGACATTGCACATAGGGCTAGAGGCCTATGGTGTACGAGCGGCCTGTGGGGTTGTGAATAGCAGAACAAACTGGTGCTGTCACAGCCCATTCGTACCATACTTTCTTGGAATTGCTGCATCTCCAGAAACGCACACAGATGGTCTGACCTTCCCGCACTGAAATGGGCTGCTGTAAGAAGAAAGACAGGAAGGTTCAGGACAGACTTAATGAATTATATGTGGCAATGTATTAGGGTAGGTATGGAGATTAAATGACAACACGGCAGATTGTTCCAACCCTCATAAAACTTATGAAGTCTGTCAGAATACAAAATAATCAGACATAGAACAAACAATGGTGTAGTGAATGCTGTGAACATGTACAGAGTACCACAAAAGCACTCATGAAAGGGAAAGCTAACCTAAGGAGAAGACCATAGAACGTTTATCTGATGATAGAGTTATTGAAGAAGCCCTTGAAGAGATGAGAAAAGAACTTTACAGGCAAAGGAAAGAAGTGTGAAAACCTGAGGCAGATGAAGATGGGGTATTAGAGGAACCAAAAACTCAAACGGTTAAGGCAATGAGAGCCACGGAACAGCTGCTGAAAAGGTAAGCCAAACTAAACCACACCAACTCTTATAAGCAGTCCTCTAGGACCTTGACCTAAAGGGTAATGGGAAGGCACTGAAGGGTTTAAACAGGAGAGAGGTTTAGTTTTCAAAAGTTCAGTTTAGTTTTCAAAAGACAATTCTTGCTCAAGGTAGAGAATGGACAGAAGAGTAGCCAAAGTAGACATGAGAAGGCCACATCAGATAACCCCAACACCTACAACCAGAATTCAAAGGTATGTGAGAGCAGTAGAACATGGGTCATAGCCAGATACCCTGGGAAAGAAGGAAAGGGCCAGAACACTAATGGCAAGTTATTCTTTAACTTACAGAATCTTTTTACTTTCTTTTCTTTTTTTTTGCGGTACTGGGGTTTGAACTCAGGGCTTATACATCTTGAGCCTCTCCTCCAGCCCTTTTTTGTGATGGGTATTTTCAAGATAGGGTCTTACAAATTATCTGCCCAGGCTGGCTTTGTACCAAGCTGGCAATCCTCTTGATCTCTGCCTCTTGAGTAGCTAGGATTATAGGTGTGAATTACTAGTGCCCCGCTTAACTTACAGAATCTTAAAAGGTGATTCCTACCTTAATGGGGAAGAGGATAGGAAACCATGAGAACATCCCAGGAGAATGAGTCTCTGGACGGATACCTATATAGACAAAATAATGGGGGGAGGGGGAGGAAGAAGTTGAGGTCTCCATGAGTATGTCTTTTTGCCTAGGTTGAGAAGGGTCTCTTCTATTACCATGGAAACAAGTAACTGAAGATCTCCATTGGTTGACTCTGGGACTCCCCATGAATCTAAATGAGACATGTATACAACCTGCCAAGGCAGCATACCCTCATACACTGCCATACACTGCCCAGACACTTACTCAGAGTGATGTCCTGATAAAGAACAGTCTCAAAGTAGCCTGCAAAGCCATGTAGCACTGTGTTCACCTCCACCGGAAACTCCAAGGTACAGTAGCGGTTGTTATCAATTATAGGATCTGTCAGGAAAGAATTGGGTGGATAACCAGGGGCCAGAGCCCTAAACAACTTGGTAAAGCATAAGCAAGATCCAGCAAGGGAAGACTCAGAGCAGACTTGGGACAGAAAGGAGGGTAAGCATGCAAAAACCTACCTCTGTTGGGATGGCTAAAAGTGAAACAGGGCTGGGGTGCAGACAGCTGGTGGAAGTTGTGCAGCCGTACCACATAAGGCATCTCAAACTGGGCCTGTCCACAGTAAAAGAGCAAGAATTGGAAAAGACAGACAGATATCTACTTCCCCAGGGAAAGCTCAAGCCTCAGGGACACAGATAAAGATAAAAGTATAGTTTCGCTTCAACCACTTTCTCCCATCCCCAACTTCTCCTTTACCTTTTTTTTTAAAGTGGGACTGGGGTTTTGAACTCAAGTCGGTGCTGTATGGCTCGAGCCACACCTCCAGTCCATCAGTCCACTTTACTCTAGTTATTTTGGAGATGAGATCTTGAGAACTACTTGTCCAGGCTGGCCTCGAACCATGATCCTCCCCATCTCAACCTCCCAAGCAGCTAGGATTATAGGCGTGAGCCACCAGCACTCAGCCTCCTTCACCTCTTCACCATCTCCAGTGGAAGAAAAGAAAGAGGACTCAAGAGTATCCCTTCCAGAAGAGAGCAGCGTTTTACCTCGGGGTCACGGTCCTTTTCCCGACAGGCTCGGACCTCGTTGTACAACTTAGAGGAAGAGATGGGAGCCAGGAAGGAAGTGTACTCCCCAGGGATGCTCACACCGTCATCTGAACAGCAGGAGGGTCACGTTAGTTCCAAAGAGCAGGAGCCCTCCACACCAAAACAGCAGAGGCTGGCATGGGCATGGTAGGGAGAGGCAGCTCAAAGTCACACTCCTCAGCTGATCTGCTCCTAACTCATGGGGGATTCCACTTCCAGGTTAATTACAGTCACAGAAAATTAAACTGAAGGAACCTAGGACACAGTCATGCATCATTTAATGACTGAACAAGTTTTCAGACGTGTTGTTTAACAACTTTATTCATAGTGTGAATGTAATAGTGCCCTTACACAACTAAGATGGCTACAGTGTCACTAGGCAATATCTTATGAGACTACCTCTTATATGCAGTCCACCATTGATAGAAACATCATTAAGTGATGCCTGGCTCTATTCTAATCTCCTGCATTTGAAGTTCTGTAGGATCACAAAGCCACACAAAAGCTTCTGATGAAAGCTAAGCCCAAGATAAGTATTATGCCAGCTCAGAGAGTCCACAGACTTCAGGTAAAGAATCTCTAATCTAGTCCACTCCCCTCATTTTATAGGCCTCTCTGAAGTCCAGAGACTGACTTCATTTATTAATGCAATAAGCAGTAGCTTTCAGTCATATGATTTGACTCAAGTCCAACCCACTTCCCCCTAAACCATGTTCCTTTCACCCAGGTTGCTGCCCAACCCACCATCACTCCCTTCATCCACCTCAACCTGGAGTCACCTTTCAGGAAATGCTGTGCTCCATCGAGGCATTCAGGTGATAGTTCATTGTCGGCAAAGGAGCCCAGAAGCTCACTGACAATGATGTCTGCCTTCTCTGGAGCCACCCATTCCCGCATGTCTGATGAGACTACTGTCACCTGGCTTCCCCATTCTTCAAACTGCCAGTTCTCTAGCCTGAAACAGAGATGAGACAGGTGAGATGAGACAGGTAAGATGTTACAGTAAACTGGCAACAGGGCCAAACTTCCCAACAAGCAGATTGCTACTCACGTCACCACAGCATTTGGGTTTTTCTCCACAGCATATAGCTTTATCCGCCGGTCAGCCTGCTTGGCCGCCCGAAGGGAAGCATTCACCAGGGGACCCCGGCCTGCTCCCAATACCATCAGTACCCTAAGAAAGGGGAAGAGTCAAGCAGATTTGCCATACAGAGAAGTAGACATACAAGTCTCTGGGATTGTAGGGAAAGCACTCACTGGACATTGGTATCCTTCTCCTCTTCTGGTACTCTGTCTAGGAGACATTTATAGATAGCCTGGTAGAAGGAGAAAAGACTTCATGGCTATATTCCCTTTTTCACCAAGGTCATCCTGCCCCTGTGCTTTCCCAACCTGGACCCATCACTATACCTGCTGGTACTGAGAGTATTTGATGGGGTCTTTTTCAAATACTTCGTATGTCTGAGATTCCAGATTGTCCATCAGCGGCTGATGAATGAGGGGAGGAAAAACAAAGCTAAGTTTGCGGGTTTCTGGCAAGAGATGATACAGTGGACCATCAAAAACTTCATTGCCTCCTGAGTTTTGGTAGGGTTTTGGGTCGTCTACTCTCCAGAGACATCTTCCACCCTGCCTCTTGGTGCACTCCAAACCTACCTGAAGCGGGGACTGCAGATAGTCTTCATAGCCTTTGGCAAAGAGCTCATAGGCGTTTGGTGGAGGGCGGTTCTGGCTTAAGTATTCCAAATACTGGAGGTAGGAGCAGAATTCCTTCTCTGAATGGTGGTTGGTGCCAGTGATGATGAACTGCACCTCCAACTAGGAGAGAAGTCAGAACATCAAACACAGTCCTCAAACCAAGATTTTGGAGTGTATGGTTTATGGCCAAAAACCCCTACCAAAAATAAGGTCCAGACCTAAACCAAAGGTTCTCGAGTGTCTGCCCCAACACTAACAAAAGCAGCATGAGAAGTCAATAAATTTATAAAGCCCTCTTAATACTATATAAGCATCACCCTGGCCCAGTGGGCCACAAGGATTCTTACTATACCTACATGAAACCTTCTGCAAAGTTCTCACGAGGTCTGATTCCTTTTAAAGATTTCTGGAGCTCCTACTAATATTTGCTATTCATTCCCAGGACCCTAACTCTATTGAAATTGCTCTCCAGAAACTAAAGACAGTCCCACAGGAAAAACAGCACCATACATTTGTGAATAATCCATACATATAGCTCAGGGGAAAAAAAAGACATATAGCTGGACTACTCTTAGAACGCTTTTACCACCCACCTTGAGGAGCCGGAAGATCAACCTCTGGTGCATCTTAGAAAGAACAGGAAATCCCTTCTTATTGGTCAGGAAAATGCTGGTAGGGAGAATAGCTGCTTTGATGGGCTCCCCAAGCCAACGATCAATGACATGATTAGATGGGAGATCAGCCCCAATTTCAAGAGCTACACAAGGGAAGGGAAAGATGTATCTATCACTGTCAGGCAACAAAAAGCTCTTCTTTGCTCCTTTTGTGTAAGAAGTTTCCTCCTTTTTTTTTTTTTGACTATCCTGGGGTTTGAACTTAGGTAGGCAGGCGTCCTTCTACTTGAGTCACATCACCAGCCCTTTTTGCTTTAGCTGTTTTTGGAATACGGTCTCACTTTTTGCCCAGGCAGACCACAATCCTCTTATTTATGCTTCTCGTGTAGCTGAGATGACAGGTGCATACCATTTAGGTGCAGCTATTGGTTGAGATGGCTTTTTGCTTGGGCTGGCTTCAAACCTCACTCCTACTCATCTTCACCTCCCAAGTGGCTAGATTACAGATTTGAGCCATGGTGCCTGGCTTGCTTACTCCTCTTTTAAGAACAAGGCAGACTGACATGAAGGTAGTCAAATGCAGGTCTTATTCCAAGACCCTCATGGACTTACCTACTGCAATTCTCTTGCTATAGTCACATAAAGTTCGGAAGTTGTGCCACCTGTCCAAAGTCAAAAACGGGAAAATACTGTTAAATCCCATAGCCCACCGATCACCATAGCTCAAGGGGACCTCCCTACTAGTTCCACCCAGTACTTCCCTCATCCGACCCTTACTCTACAATAGCAGAAAAGGAGACATACCACATCCATGTCTTCTCTTCCCCACTGTACTCTTCTGTGTGGGCAGTTGGTACATTCTCAATTATATCATCTCTCAGGTCTTCTGGTGCCACCAATGGTACCCGCATCCAGAACTACAGCAAATAGGTACCCTCTTACAATTCAGTTTAGAACTCACTGGGTCTAGAAAGCCTTCCCCAATTAAAAAGATCTTGATCAAAACCTTAAGTTAATTCCTTTATATGCTCTTCCCACTTTCTGATTATGTCTGTATTTATCTTGTACATACCCTTATGCAAATATCTGCTTTGTTTTTGTTTCAACTGAAATAATTATATATTCTCTATGTTTCTGTTTTATTTGTGGTGCTGAGGATTGAACTCAGGACCTCAAGCAGGCAAGGCAAGTGATGTATTACTGAACTACACCCCCAGCCCCATATATTCTGTATGTTTTGAAACTCTGCATACCATTTTTAGATATGGGGAGATTAATACTGACATTTCATTTCTGCCAAATGCAACACTAAATGGCTGGACACAAGGTACTTAGCACAGCTTGACTACTGTGATCTGCAGCAGGAAAGGATTCATTCAGCCATACCATGGAAGAATGGTGGCCAGTGTGGATGTGGTTGGTCAAAACTCTGGCTAGGTTTGTGTTGTCTTCCTGATTAAGGGGCAGCAGGAAAGCTGGAAGACCCAGATATGCCCCAAAATTCAGCTCCTGTAACATGGCCTAGGATGGAGATCAAAATGAGAAGGTTAAGTACAACCAAATAGTTTTAACTGCATTATATCAGCTGATTTACCTTGAAACACCAAGTTACTAGGGGAGGGATATCACTCTCCCCACCCACTCAGCTTGGGTGACAAGCCAGTTTTTTTTTTTGTTGTTTTTTTTGAGACAGGGTCTCACAAGGTAGCCCATGAGCTTGAGCCTGATGAAGATCCTCCTGCCTCAGTCTCCAGAATACTGGTATTACAGACCTGTGCCATCATGCCCATGTCAGACCTAATCTTTAAAGAGTCATGGGATATCAAACAGGCTTACCGCCTCCGAGTTCCTGCGGATCTTCTCCACTTTTGAGTCTGGATGAATCCATGGGGAAAGCTTTCCCACGATTAGCGTATTCCAATCTGCACTCCCCACCCAAGAAAAACAAAGAATGAATGAAGTTCATCATTTGCTCGATTTTTAGTTCTTAGCAGGGGATAAGAGTAGAAATGAAAGATAAAAAAGACTTTTTCTATCACAGATATGGGACAGCCTGGTGCAGAATAGGGGAACGAAGGCTTTTAGCAAGTAAGCAATGAGAAAACAAGAGTTAGCTATAATATCCCAGGAACTAAGTTTATCCAAGTCAGAGAATGAGATGAGGGTCCTGGTAAAGCATTAGTTGTTACTGCCTCTAATAATTAAGGATCATATGGGATGGTCCCTACCCCTTCCTGACAGCAGTAGGTCTGATCGTGTCTGGGGGCCGGGCCGATTCTTAGCAGGTTCCTGAGTGAACTCCCTCTTGAAACGCGGGTGGAAGACAGGCATGCAGAGGAAATCAAACCTACAACCGCGACAGACCCAGAATCATCATGTAAAGTGGGCAGCAGTACCCAGAGATCAACACAACTGGCTTTATGCTATCTTGATCTTGCCCAGCACTTTTAGCTGCCATCAGTCATCCCACTGGGCTGCTGAACTCAGCCCACCTCGGGGCATATGTCTTCCGCTGCAGTGTGCCTCAATTTCTCCCCAAAACACAGTCATTGAAAAGATGAATGAGGAGAAAAGATGGAAATCCAAGCCAAGTAGCATTATTTCTTTTCTGGTGTTCAGGACTGTCACATCCAAATTTGTCCCAGCACTGCCCATGCCTCCCCACCTCAAGATTAACCTCTTCTCTCCCTTGCCTCCGAACACTTCCTCCCACTACCAGACAATAATCTCAACCTCCAAGGCCCAAGAAGACTGTACGCCCCTTTTTTAGTTTGCCCAGAACTCCCTTGACTTTTGGATTCAGTAACCACATGCCCTGCCCCCATAAGTTTCTTTCCTCGTGTTCTTGGGGCCGAGGCTTCTCCCCTCCAGAAGTAATGATTTCTCACGCCCTCATCCCCTACCCGGGATGATTAGTCTTCCCTTCGTCCCCGAGTTCGGACCCCGCATTACGCTCGTGGTAGTCCAGCCCTCACCCCTGCTTGGCCACAGCCCCCAGTGTGTCAGCTATTTCGGGGACGCAATTCAGGTCCCTCCCGCTGGACACGCGGCTCCCACCGGCACCTCCGACCGCCATCGCCGCCATCTTTTCCCTCGCGCTGTCCACGCCGGGATTCCTTGATACTAGCAGCCAATAACAAAGCTAAAATAGGTCCCTAGAAGGCGGGACGAATCGTCTTAACAACCAGAGCGTCTTCACAGCTCCGGAGCAGGAGGCTGAGGCTGGGTATAGGGGGCGGGGGAGGGGGGGGGTTCTCCCTCCGCCAATCCGTGGGCAGCACAGTGACGTAGGGCGTCCCCTTCAGATCAGCCAATCACAGGGCAGCGTTTGAGCCGAACTTCACTTTTTCCCAGAATGCCTTGTATTATCTGAGGGACTACAGGTCCCAGGAAACCCTGCAATGTTAGCTTGAAGTATGATTACTGAGCGTAACGTAGACGTCTCGGGGCCAGTGGCGCAATGGATAACGCGTCTGACTACGGATCAGAAGATTCCAGGTTCGACTCCTGGCTGGCTCGTTGGGACTGGTACTCCTTTATTGCATCAGGTACACTCCATCGCTGCACGGCGTAAAATTAAGTTGTTTTTTTTTTTTTTTTTTTGCTTTTCACCGTTCAAAGTTTCCTTATTGTCTCCTCACGCTCTTATTTTCAGGATTTAAATTGGATGAGTCTTGAAGTCATCCGATGTCAGCGTCTCCCGAAAACTTCCCTCAGAGGTGTTTCTTAGCTCATTGCTTAAGTCCACGTGAGCACAGACAGCCTGAACTGCTGGCACTGCTCAGATGGGCTTTGTTTCCTTACTATGCTACATTTTTAAATAGACTGCGATACCGCGGCCTCTAATCCCTAGGGATTCTCGTCTCAAACACAGATGTCAGTAAACACTTAAGCACGTACGCCTCGGGAGAGATGCGGTGCCGGGGGCCGGGGCCACCTGCGGGGTCCCAGGTCACGGAGAGGAAGCGGAGGGCCGCGGGGGAGGCCGAGGCAGGTGCGGGGCGCGGGCCGGGCGGCTCGGGTTCTGTGCGCCCGGTGGAGGAGGCGCGGCCGGGCCAGCGACAGTCGGGCTTGGGCGTGGACGTCGAGGGGCGCTGTGCAGTAGAGTTGCACGAACACCAGCAATCCGAAGCAGACGAGATCTGCAAGTCTGCAGGAGAAAAGTCCTGACTGAACCATGAGAAGACGGCCACCGTGGCCCCTGGGGCGCAGAGCCCCAAGCAACGCAGCGAGGGCGTGGATAGCAAAGCTCTGACAAGCCCTGAAAACACAGTGAAGCCCCAAAAGGAGGACAGTCAGCAAACCAGAGAAGAAAGAAAATGCACCAAATGCTTTGGTCTCTTCTTCATTTTGAGACAGGGGCTTGCCAAATTGCCCAGGCAGGCCTTGAACTGAAGATCCTCCTGCCTACATCTCCCGGGTAGCTGGGATTACAGGTGTGATCCCAACGCCCTACACTGTCCCATCTTATTGTTATTATTACCAGACTTTTTTCGCCTGCTGTCAGATCCCACGCAGGATATCATATTACATTTAGTGTTTTCTTGGGCTCCCCCTTAGCTGAGACGGTTTCTCAGAAGTCCCTTGTTATTTTGTTGTTATTTTTAGACAGGGTCTCACTATGTGGCCCAGGCTGTCCTACAAGCGAGACTCCTGAGTGCTAGAATTACAGGCTTGCATTACCACGGCAGACATACAAATGGCTTTTTTCTGGTGGTGCTGCTGATGAAACCCAGGGCCTCCAGCATGCCAGACAAGTACCCTACCACTGAGCTACACCCCAGCCTTCTTGTTTTTGATGAGTGATAAAGTTTCGAAGAGTACTGGTTGGATGGAATTTTTCTCTTAGTTTTCTCACGGTTAGCCTGGTGTTATGTGATTTGGGAAAGAATACAGAGGGGTAAAGGGCCATCTTCACAGCATTGCAATCCCAAGAGTACACACCACCACTGTGATTTAGGTAGGACTGCAGATGTTGACCTTTGTCCTCGGTAGTAGTTTGTCAGGCTTCTTCACCACAAGATGACTGGCAGGCTGAGTTAGGATTGCATAAGCCCAGGAGTTTGAGACCAGCCTGGACAGCAGAGTCCTGTTTCACCAAAATTAACTAATTAGTTAATTAATTAAAGAGATTTTCTCTTTCCCTCTCCCCAAACCTCACCTTTCCATACCATACTCTTGACCTAAGTATGGCCCATATCTAAGGAGTGAGAAGTTATGGTCCCCCTCATTTAGGGTGGAGTAGCTACAGAATTTATTTGGAATTCTGTGCAGGTATTTTCAGTAGCTGATTGTTCACAGGAAATGGGTAAGTGCTCGGCCCGCCTTTTAAGAGGTAAAAAAGAGTTGTTGAGAAGCTTGTGGTTCTCTGCCCAGCTGCGCCCATCCTGACTCGACAGTCACAGAAGACATTTAGATGCGGTTTCCTCTTCAGGAGCTAATTATCTGGGTTGTGGACCTCCTGTGCTCTCTGCGCCTCACTCCTGAGATCAGGTGGGGGGGCTGCTCTGTTGGTTAACTAACCCTTCCATGGCTGAGAGGGGAAAGAAAAATCTGTGAAACATGAAATGTCAGTTTTTCCACCAGTGAAAATAATTTCTCAAAGACTTAGTGTAAAAAGAGCCTAGAATTTCTGACTGATATTCAAGTAAGTTTACATGGACTGAGTTTCATTTGTCTGTGTTGTCTTTGTTTGTTTGTTTGTTTTCACTCAGAATAGCATCAGCCATGTGACTAGCATGTTACTTCACAGTTGCCAGTACTGCCATACCCATTGCTCCTGGGCTTTCCTCCAGGGCTTTCCTTTACCATAAAACCCAGCATCTGTATGAGTTGTAACAGAGCAAGAAGGGAAGGACGGAAGACAAAGTAGAGACCTTGTAAAGGACTTGGCTCCATGCAGCCCAAGTTGGTGATGTCTATCTTAGGCCTGCCTCCCTCTGCTCTGCCCTCAGGCCCACCTCATCTCAGCAGCCAGTGGGCCTCTGTTAGACTAAAGCCTGTGGGCCTTGGCTGGGATGAAGATAGTGACAGATGAAGGACAGATACCTTAGGTGAGAAATAATGCTACTTTTTCCAATATGAGCCAGTGACCTACAGGCAAGAACACGAGGATTACCCCCCACCCCCAGACAGTCCCCCGTCACAATCCTACTCCCCTAAATCCTCTCCCCAGACAATCCTCCCCCGAGTCAATCCTCCCACTCAGAAAATTCTCCCCCCATAATCCTCCCTCACTGAAAATCCTCCCTCCTAGACAGTCCTCCTCCCCCCTACACAATCTTTCCCCTCAGACAATCCTCCAACCCTTCCCCCAGCCCACCCCACATTCCTCACCTATAGGCTCAGTTCTATTTTATCCTGGTTCTTCCATTTTGTTTTTTTAATCTTGTTTAAACACCTCTAGTCAGTATAAACCCTTTTTTATCCTTAGTTGTGCTTGCCCTCTCCTTTAGCACTCCCTCTCCAGATCCACCTTCAGCCACCTTGTGCCTGCCCAGCCATCAGTACTCTTCAACACCGAATAATGGCCTGTTTGACCCTCCTACAGCTCCAAATTGCTTCTTCACAATCAAAGCTGTCCTGTAGCTACAAAAGTGGCAGAGTTACTGAGGCAAAATAATCTGGCCAATTTGCATTTTCTTCCTTGTCATCTCTATTGTACTGTGTTATCTGTCAAAATGATTGGAAGGCAGGAACTATTCTGAACATAGAAGATGGAAAACTACCCAACTTATTTATGAAGCCAGAACACATGTAATATTAAAGCCTGTCAGAAATAGCACCCCAAAAAGCCAAGACTCATTTATGGATATAAATGAAAAATCCTTAAATATTTAGGATAATAATAGTATAATAATTTAATAGTATATTAACATAGTAATTATATAGCACAGCCAATTAGGATTTATCTCAAGAATTAATACAAGGTTAGATATTAGGAAATGTATTTACATAACGAGTTAAAATAAACCAAATGGGGCCAGGCATGTTGATTCACACCTGTAAGCCTAGCTACTCAGAAGGCAGAGATCAGGAGGATCTCAGTTCAAAGCCAGCCCCGTCAAAGACTTCATGAGACCCTATCTTGAAAAACTCAACACAAAAAAAAGGGCTGGTGGAGTGACTCAATGTGTAGGCCCTGAGTTCAAGCCCCAGTAAAAAAGAAAAGGCTGGGTATGGGTTCTCCTAATCCCAGCACTTGGAAGGCTGAGGCAGAAGGACCATGAGTTCAAGGCCAGCCTGGGTTATACAATAAGACCCTGTCTCAAAAAAATTTTTTTAAAAGAGAACAAAAACAAACAACCCCATGGCAACAAACGATAAAAGAATATAACATGGTAAGTCAATTCTATTTTTATAAACCTTAATTGTCTTAATATTCTTCATATATAACACACACACACACACACACACACACACACACACACACACATATTCGACAATTTGATAAAGATGAAATAAGGCCTGGCATGGTAGTGTACACTGTAAATCCCAGCTACTCAGGAGGCTGAGCCAGGAGAATCTTGAGTTCTAGGCCAGCCTGTGCAATATATGGAGATATCCAAAATTTACAAAAGGTCTGGGGCTGTGACTCAGAGCACTTGCCTAGCATGCTTGGGGCTCTGAGTTCAATTCCCGGTACTGAGAAAATAAAAGGGGGAGGCTGGTGGCGTGGCTCAAGTGATAAAATCCCTGCCTCACAAGCACAAAGTCCTGAGTTCAAACCCTAATACCAACAAAAACAAAAAAAGATGAAATAAAACAAGACAGTCTAGTATTAGCTGGGTGCTGGTGGTGCTGGTGGCTGTATCTGTAATCCCAGATACTTGGGAGACTGAGATCAGGTGGATTGTGATTTGAGGGCAGCCCAGGCAAATAGTTCACAAGACCCCCACCTCCAAAATAACCAGAGCAAAATGAACTGTAGGCGTGGCTCAAGCAACACAGCACCTGTTTTGCAAGTATGGAGTCCTGAGTTCACACTCAAGAGGCAGAGATCAGGAGGATTGAGGCTCGAAGCCAACCCAGGCAAACAGCTCAAAAGACCCTATCTTGAAAAAAGCCTTCACAACAAAGGGCTGGTGGAGTGGCTAAAGGTGTAGGCCCTGAGTTCAAGCCCCAGTACTGAAGGAAAAAAAAAAAAAAACTAGTCTCATCGCTGAGTGACTCAATATTATTATGAAAAATACAATATAAAACTGGAAATAGAATAAAAGGGTTATAACTTTTTGGAAAGGGAGAGGCAAATTTATAATCACGTATAGATGATATATGATTGAATACACAGAACATCCATGACAACTGATTTTAAAATGATGAGAATTAATAATAGAATGTA